ATCACTTGAAAAGGGACTCAGACCTCAAGGGGAATGCTAGAGGGGAAAGGGTTTCTGTTGAGTGGGCAAACTAAGTGTCAGATGCCCAGTACCCATGGGAAAATAAGGGCATCCTTTTTTGTTGGTTGAGTATAAAGGGACACCCGTGCCCAAAAAAAGGAAAAAAGGGCACCACCGGGCAACAGAGAAGTGTGTCCAACCAAAACATATTCTTTGATGTCCTTTCCCCCATGGCAGGCTGAAATCAGTTGATGGGATGTGTTCTTTGAAAGGGGCGTTGGCAAGGCCGTGAAGTTCTGGATTCCACATTGCTTTGAAAGGGACGTCACGTCATTCCTGAAATGTGTTGCATACAAGTAGAGGGGAAGGGGACCCGGGGTGAAGGGAAACAACCTGAGTTTCTATGAACTTGGCCCAGTCATGCCGACAGTTCCAGGGTGGATTCCCCTGGGGGTGGCGCAAGTTCCGTATGGGCCTGACCTTGTTGTTGATGCCCATTTTGGTTGCTTTAAACTTTCAAGAGAAACCAAAAGGATAATAATGGGTCTGTGTCAAATAAGGGGACCTTCCAATTGCGTGCATCCATTTCCCTTTCTTTTCAACCCTACAGAGGGCTCCCTCAAACGATGCCTGGAGATCCCATATTTGCTTAAGACGCATCACGCCTTCTCCACCTGGTGGATCTGCGGATGCTCAATGATGCGCTCCTCAACCCTGACATCCTGAAGACAGACCCATACTCATGCAGCAAAAGCCCTTCGGCATTGCAGGGCACGTCGGGCCAGTTTTGGGGTCTGAACAAAAACACCCGTTGGCATAGCTTTCCTTAGCTTCTTGCTGATGAATTATCTCCGTCGGTTTTCGCTTTAGGGCATCCCAGCACTCAAAACACAAACACACAACATGAATTTGTTTCTGGTGTGCCTCAGGCCAAACGCACCGAACAACAACACACAGTGGGGGTCATTACAACAACCTCCTCCCTCCCTTATTGGGTTTTTGTTCAACGAAACACCCTAAAACAACAACGCTTCGATGGGCTCTCACCGCGCGGTTTTTCGGTCCAGAGTTTTCTGTCTGTTCAATGCGTCTTGGGGTTTTTACGCCCACAGACGCTGCTTGTTTTCATCGATGTTCAAATATGCCCTTGGGGCAATGATGATAATGTGTGCGTGAACGTGGATGCTGATCTGGCAGGCATGCACGCAATGATGATAATGTGTGCGTGAACGTGGGCGCTGATCATGTGGCAGGCATGCACGCAATGATGATAATGCGTGCGTGAACGTGGATGCTGATCATGTGGCAGGCATGCACGCAACGATGATAATGTGTGCGCGTGAACGTGGATGCTGATCATGTGGCAGGCATGTACGCAATGATGATAATGTGTGCAATGATGATAATGCGCGCATGCACGCAACGATGATAATGTGTGCAATGATGATAATGTGTGCGTGAACGTGGATGCTGATCATGTGGCAGGCACGCACGCAATGATGATAATGTGTGCAATGATGATAATGTGTGCATGCACGCAATGATGATAATGCGTGCGTCAATGTGGGTGCTTATCATGTGGCAGGCGTGCGCTCAGTCATGAAAGTGTGCCCGTGAACGCAACATACGCCCACTGCTCCAAACCCGCGCGCAGGTCGTCAAAAATGGCCCTGAAACCCTTGTTTACAGTGGGAAACGAAACGCGAAAAGCGCGCGGAAACACCCCATCGGAGGGAACAACAAACATGAATAAACACTAGGTAACTTGGGCCAACTCCTGCCGCACACATGCACACTTTGTCTTTTTTGTTTGGCCCGGAAGGAACCCGGAAAGACGGGCCACAAAAAGATCGCCTGACTCATTTCCGAACGAGTGGATTGGCCAGAAAAAGTCCGAACTCTTTGTTTACCACTAAGACTAAATAGTCCAAACCCAAACGTGACTAAAGTCCAGGAACTCAGCGAGCGTGAGTGTTTTGGGGCACCATGTAAATCTGCAGGAGAGTAAGCAACCATTGCTTCAACGATACTGGTTTTGGCGTATGGCTTTCCAAAGCGGACTTCGGGTCTGGTTGTAACCGAGCCTCGCCTGTGATGAGAAAACATCTTAAAATGCCTAATATCCGGTAAATCAAACACAGCAATTTGACATATGCCGCGCACAAATGATTCCTCCGTTGGAGGTCCGTTTTTTGCCGCCGAGCGTCGATTTTTGGGACGTGCCTCACCTCAGCCAGAAAGCCGAAGGCAGGTTTGAGCTGTGCCATGGTCCCAAGTGGGCTCCCTGTGGTTTTCTTGCATCTCATCCAAGTGGACGTGCAACCCGGCGGGCTCAATAAATGTAGCCTATATAGGCTTGGCAGCTTCCATCTTGTGCACTTTGGATTCGTTTGGGTTCTAAGAGTTTGTTGGAATGCGAAGTTAACATTGGACAAAAGGGTATCAGTCCTACCCAGTTACCGTTCGAAAACAAGTCTAGAACACTATGCAGCAGCACCCAACACGCAACGGAAGCAGGTGCTCTGACTGACGCGGAGGGATTCGTCTTTTCGCACGTGGCTATTGCGCAAAAGAAGAATAACCAAGGGGGGCATTCTAAACTTGGTCAATGGTCAGCCCTAAATCTAGAATTTCCACTATTTCTGCCATCTTCATGTTGGGCGTAGGTGCGTGAGCCTTGGACCAGGGCTCTCGACAAAAACACTGGAATGGGTGCTCTCTATTTCCCCCTTACATCTTTCTACCAAGCAATCTGATTCACCTTAAATGGGACACAAAGGTACTGTTGAAAAACAGATTCAACTATGGCTGGTACCCTCCCACCACTTGCTTTCCAGGATGCGCGTCGCGGAAAGTAACTTTGTGACACGAAAATAAGGTTTCCACTAGATCATTTAGGGGCTTTCCCTTGGCCCATTGCAGACAGTGGCGTTTAAACCAAGATGGCTGTCTCAAAATACGGGGACCGCTCCAAAAACCTTCGCCGCCATATTGCCAAATGTGCGTCTTTCTTTACAATTATTTACTTCTATCTAATGCTTGTCTTTTCTTTAGGTTATTTTGGTTAATAATTCTAAACTAATAAAAATATAAAAAAATAATATAATAATAAAAACAAGAAAGAAATAAATATTAAATGTAAATAATAAAGTCATTACAGAAAGGACAATGAGAGACACCAAATGCATGAATTCTGGGACAAATGATGGCTGCCAATGACTCAGAGATAAATGGCGTGTCTACAGAATGAAGATAAGGATAGAATGACTTTATGAGTGCATCTTTGTTCACCATCATTTCCATCTTTATAATTCCCTTTCTCTTTTATCTTTCTTTACAATTATTTACTTCTATCTAATGCTTGTCTTTTCTTTAGGTTATTTTGGTTAATAATTCTAAACTAATAAAACAATAAAAATAATATAATAATAAAAACAAGAAATAAATAAATATTAAATGTAAATAATAAAGTCATTTCAGGAAGGACAATGAGAGACACCAAATGCATGAATTCTGGGACAGATGATGGCTGCCAATGACTCAGAGATAAATGGCGTGTCTACAGAATGAAGATAAGGATAGAATGACTTTATGAGTGCATCTTTGTTCACCATCATTTCCATCTTTATAATTCCCTTTCTCTTCTCTTTGTCTTTATTATCATTAACTCCTAGAAAGATAGAATCCTTAATATAAAGACTTGTAAATAGAACAGAAAAGGAAATGAAAGATAAAAGAGATGAAGAGAAAGGATATAGAGAGATCTTATGGTGGACAAAGGACATAGAGTGAGTGAACTGGAGCATGTATGGTTTTGCTTCTTGGGGGAACCCCAACATGGTTGGTATCCCTTTGGCTTCCCTGTTAAAACAACCACAGAAAGGGATTCCGCCAAGAAACAAACACCCGTATAGTTTTCGAACGGAGATCTGTCAAGACCCTGCCAAAAGCGTCTTGCTGAGTCACGGTGGTCTTTGAGGATTTTTTTATGCACTTGTTGCTTCCTGTCTGCACAGGGCTGAACATCATTCCTATGGAAAGAAAGCAAGGGAACCCCTCCCATCCAAAGAAAGGAAAAGCAAAACCTGAGGTCGCAAATGTTGCTTTCATTCCAACACCTGAACAGGACTTGATCAGGTAAACCAAGCTATGACAAACTACATGGCTACATCGCAGCTCGTTCGACCCCCGAATCGGCGAGCTCGCCAAATCAGCAGAATCTGTGCAGCATTTGGGTATGCATCAAAGGGGACTCCAAACAATGTTTTTCCCATTTGGCTTACCTTCATAGCCAAACATCCTTCCCAACAAAGCGCACACACATTTCTTCGAGCCACGATCTCTTGGACCTCAATCTTCGGCACATGCCGGTCAACGGTCTGAATGACCGTCTGCGGCACTTCCACAATCTTCTCCTTGGCACATGGCGTTTCTTGCGGCTACCCTTTTTCGGGTTGATGTAAAGGCAAACCAAAAGGAACTCCAGCCATGTTGAAGGCTCCCTTATTGTAAGACACAAAAAGAGCCATGATCGAAACTTGCTGGTTCTCAGTCAGGAATGACCCAGGTGGGAGTGAACCGGTTTTGGGGATTCCCTTCAAGGAAACCATAGGGGATGGTTTTAGTCGGGATCCTGCTGAGCACCAGCAAGAAAACTCCTTGCAAGTGCCGAGGTTAATGTCCAACCAGCTTTGCAGGTTGATGCGCATCAGCCCCTGCATGTGAATACCGGCTTATATACCTCTTACATACACTGGGCCACAAAACCCGGTTGAGGCACCTGGCCGATTTGTTGCTGGGTGTCTTGCAAGCTGACCGAGCCAAGGCAGCCCTTAATGAGGGCTTATTTGGGCTCCCTCCCCCCCTCTCCTCCCTCCCCCCAAGCCCCCATCACTTATCACAAATCGACCAAAGAATCACACCAAATTCTTCGAACGGTTTCATTGTGGCTTCACAATGAAAAGCCGGAACCAGGGTTCGGTGGCTTGGGCAATGTCCAATTTTACAGCCAAGGGGTCCCTGTATGTCCGCTTTTGTGGTTTCAAACATCGCCCTTTTGGCCCATTCATGGTAAGGTGAGTTTCCCTTGGTGGGGCAATTAATTTGGAAAGAATGGTGTTTCTCAAAATCAGGGTTTCTTTCAGGTGGTTGAACTCCTTTTGATTTCCCGTTCAAACCGTGGAACAAAAGGACTCCGATTTCCAAAAATGTTTTTTAATAGGCAACCCTGTCAGTCTCCTTTCTCATTCTCTCTCTGTCGAGAAGCAACCTGGTGAACCTGTGGATGCTCCACAATCCTTTCCTGAAACTTCACCTGCGCGCAAGGGGAAGCAAACACACATATGCGTCAAATTGGAACCCGCAGATGTGTGGTTTCCCCATTTGGATTCCGTTTAAAAACGGTACCCTCAAACAACCAGCCCACACCTAACAACAACACACAAACAAGAACAGAACAAGTGACTGGAGGCATTGTCAGCCTCGCTTCTGCAACCCGTAAGGCAACACAGGAAACACACGGCAGACTTGGCGTAGGGTTTCATCTATCCCAACTGCTGCATGGATTGGTCTACAGCACAAACGTTGCGGACCACCAAAAGGGTGGGTGGGCGAACTTTGAGCTGGCCAAATTTGGGCACGTTTTGGCCTCCCCGTTTCCCGGTTCAACATCACGCCTAGAGGAAACTGAACCGGGTGTTCAAAAGTCGGTACATCGGGACATCCGAGTCTCCAGCCCTCATGTAGGGAACCCTGGTAGCACCGGGAAACTCACAACCACCTTTTGGTGAACTTCCGCGGAGCCCAAGTGTTTGGTGGAGGAGGTGCCAGAGAGCCACATGGCCAATGAGGGGGTGGAGGTTCACCGAACAACGGGGGTTGCGGTTGAAAGGGGCATGATTGAAAAGAAGCACGAGGTTCATTTCTGTAGTCTCCCTCTAAAACAACAAATGGCCCAGAAAAGGCTCATGATGGACACCTGGGATGAGTATAGGTGCCCAGTTTTAGATGGCAGGGCGAATGTTTTCCGGGGTCAATATGACCAACTCCACAGGGAGTTGGTTGCAGAACATACCTAGCTTTCCGAGATGACAAACTGGGCCATAGAGGTGTCTTTCTTTAGAGGGCACCCCATTTTTTGGCGGCTTTACAGGAAACAAAAAGGACAACGGCATGTTTTATTGAAATTATTTACTTTGTGTTGGGGGTGGGTGTCCGCTAACTACTTCACTAGGGGGATTCCCATGGGCCACTAGCAGCCATCGGTCCGTCGGTGGCCTCGATCTTCGGCACATGGCGCACGATCTCTTGCACCTCGATCTTCGGCACATGCCGGACCACCTCGGTGGCTGCTTTCCCTGGAGCGCCCATTTTGAGAAAACCTTCAAACAAGCCTAAACGAAATAAATGAAGGTGGGCCAATCATTAACGCCCCCATCATGTTGAGAAAAGCCTGCACGAGCTTAACTTGCTGGTTCGATAGGGAAAGAGAAATGGAATGAGCCCGAGAAAAAACCATCCCTATGGTTGCCTGCAAGTAAATCCCAATCCAGCCGCAGACCCATCTAATCCATCAAAATAGTTCTCAGAAGCTTTTGAGGTTCCTATTGAACCTCTCTTCTATGTGACCGTGTGCCCTAGTTGTCCCCATGAATGTCAATAATTTTCAAACTGTCTCCGCTGGGAAACCACAAATCGTTCACTTCTTGCCCCCCCTTTGGTAAGTGGGTCCGTCTTTTCTTGAGGCTGCCCCTATTTCGGTAGGCTTCAAAGGGAAACCAACCGGAAAACCAACAAAAAATTGGAGATGTCCCCTATTTTGGTGGGTTTCAAAGAGAAACCCAACCCGAAAAGAAAAAAGAAGAAACAAAAGAGGGGTCCCCCAAAACATTTTGGTGGGTTTCAAAGGGACACCCAACCCGAAAAAAAAAACAAAAAAACAAAGAGGGGTCCCCCAAACATTTTGGTGGGTTTCAAAGGGAAACCCAACCCGAAGAAAAAAACATCCCCCAAACATTTTGGTGGGCTTCAAAGGGAAACCCAACCCAAAACCGCCAAAAATTCGGAGGGTTCCCCTATTTTGGTGGGCTTGAAAGGGAAACCAATAGGAAAACCGACAAACATCTGGAGATGTCCCCTATTTTGGTGGGTTTCAAAGAGAAACCCACCCCGAAAACAAAACAAAAAAGAGGGGTCCCCCAAACACTTTGGTGGGTTTCAAAGGGAAACCCACCCCGAAAAAACAAAAACACAAAAAACGAGACGTCCCCCCAGCACCCCAAGTCCTTCGATTCAGCTTCGAAGCCTGGCCTCCTGGATCCTCACCTCCGGCACCTCCACGAACTTCTCCACATATTGCACCTGAGGCACCTCAGAGAAAAAACAAAAAGAGCCACAAAAAACTCGTGGTTCTCCACTTTTTTCCAGGCAACAAACAATAACGTGCGGTAACCAGGGAAACCATGTAAGACCACCATGTAAGACCAAAACATAGTTTGTTCCTTTCCGAATTCGGCGTTTCGCCACTGTATATAGGTATAAGCAAAATCAGCTAAACATAGTTTCTCCAGCGCTTCCTCACTGTGTTTCGCCATAGGTAATCAGGCAAACTCATCCACAGCAAAGCCAGGAAAGAATACCGAAGGGATACCTGTAGCGGCTTGCCTGGAAGCGCGGGGATACACAATTTGGGTTTACAGTCACTCCCTTCTACTTAATGTAGGACCTACAGTACGCCCCCCACCCCCCACCCCCCCCCCCCCGCAAACCGTGGAACGCAGGTCGCTTGAACAGGACAATGGGAACTTGGGGGGCTTCCGAAAAAAGGAAGTAGTCTTGTGTATAGTGGGCCCCATGAATTTTTAAAATGGTCTGAGGAGAAGAACCCCTAAACTCCAAACAGTATGGGGAGGGTAGAGCTACGCTCAAGTGCCGGTGTTTAGAAAGCCCCTGAAATGTCAAAAGTTAGGTCCCAACCAAAACGTCGAAAGGTCAAAGGCTAAATCCCTGATCTCCTGGAAGGATTGGCCAGCAGTTTACACTTTCTGTTTACCACTAAAAGCTAGGTCTTTCAGTAGAGAGCTTAGAATAAGGGTACCCGATTTTTTGGCTGTAGTCTATTTTAGTAGGGGAACCCTCCGCCAAAAAAGGGTAAAAGGGCACTACTACTGGGTGACCTAGAAAAGTGTCGTCCCAAAAAGTGCAAAAGTCCAGGAACTTGAGAAGTGAGTTTTGGGTAGCTCACGGTCACGGTGAACTGAAAGTCCGGAGGAACATCTAGACTCCACAGCTGGCTGCAAGAATGCCAAACCCTCAAAACCAGGGGCGAGTAACAAACTACGATCTGGGTTTGCCCGAATGGGACAGCCTTTGCGTATGAGAGCAATCGTTCCAGTTGGTCTTGGGAGCTTAACAATTTGTTCGGTAAAGCTGCTGGGGCATTAAGCACTTGAGCAGTGATATTTCCCAGTTTTGTGCTCCTTGTTGAAAGGCAACCCAAACAGAGCAAACCTTCAGCAAGATGCGGCGAGCTGGTTGAGACGCCACTTTTGTTGATCCAGCTTTAAGGTGACCCCCACACAAAAAATCAACATCGAGTGCCCGCTGCGCTGGGTGTTAGGCGGCCCTGAACAAACATTAATAGCAATACGTATCTGTCCGACCCATCCCCTTTCGGCTTCCTTTGGGGAAATCAACATATATATTTAATATTATATATATATATATTGAGTGTGACTTTTTTTAATCGGGGACCTAGGTGGGGATTCATGTCCACGAATCACTTTTGAGGTGGTTCCCTAATTCATTGTCATCACCATATGGCTGTGGGTCAAAAATCGATGCCCAAAATGGAACCCTGGTTTAGGTTTAAACAAAAAGACCAACACCTGCGTAACCCCAGCTGCTTAATTTTGAGCCACATCCAGATGGCCATTCAGCGCCCAGTGGATGGGGAACAGATCCCTCGTCAGATCCCTCCGCGCCTCCACGATCTTCTCGACCTGGGCACGCGCAAGCTTGGCCGTCGAAATGTTGGCCTTGTGTTCAGTTTACCCCAGAAACTGGGGAAGACCCCAGGAATTGGGGGGAGACCCCAAACAACTGGGGGGGGACCCCAGGAGGACCCCCAAAATTGGGGGGAGACCCGAATTGGGGGCAGACCCCAGAGATAGCCAGGGGAGATTTCTGGGGGGATACCCCAGAAATTTGGGGGGAGACCCTAGAAATTGGGGGGAGACCCAACCAATTCAAGGAGACCCCAAACATGTGAAACAATTCCGGAGGAGATCCCAGAACTTGGAGGATGTCCAATCCCAATCTGCAAGACTGGGACACCACAAGAAGGGAAACGCAGTCCATCAGGCATTAGGGTTAAGGGCTAACTTGCAACAACAAAACCGATTTCAACGAGAAACTATACAAATACCCTCAATAACTTAAACAGCCACAGGCCTGGGTGCTTTTCTTAAACAAAAACACCCTCAAACAGCAAACACCCATCTGTGACCCATGTCTGTGGCTAGACTTAAACCCATTTGGGTTAACCTCCGAGTTGAGCGGCAAGTTGAGCGAAGGGAAGCCAACGGAAAGCGAACGTGGCTTGGATATTTTTGGTTCGAGGCAGAAGCATGCGCCCAGCTGAATGGTTGTAGGGGATCTCTGCGGCTGTTGCGCACATCCTACACAAATCCTGCGCCACCGATTGGAACCCGTTTATTGAACACGTTTAACTCCGAAACATGACATGCCGTCACTCAAACCGTGAGCTGAAGGGCTGGGAGGCGCCCATTTGTCCCTTGGTTCAGTTGACAAGCTTGGCGTTCCATTATGAGTTGCTAAATGGGGTCTAAGAGGAAAAAGCCTTATCTTGGACCTGAAGCAAATGGGAGATTTCAAGTGTATGGAAGATCCCATCTGCTCCAAGCGAGCAAAGACAAATTACCAAATCATGAGTCAATCACCATTCCCCTTTGGCTTTAAAGCCCAAAGAAAGCCCTTTTTGGAGGTACCCGGGATTTTTTAAGGGGGTACACAAACAAACAAACACACACACACACACACACACACACACACACACACACACACACACACACACACACACACACACACACACACACACACACACACACACACACACACACACACACACACACACACACACACACACACACACACACACGCACGCACGCACGCACGCACGCACGCACGCACGCACGCACGCACGCACGCGCACGCACGCACACGCACGCACGCACGCACGCACGCACGCACGCACGCACGCACGCACGCACGCACGCACGCACGCACGCACGCACGCACGCACGCACGCACGCACGCACGCACGCACGCACGCACGCACGCACGCACGCACGCACGCACGCACGCACGCACGCACGCACGCACGCACACGCACGCACACACACACACACACACACACACACACACACACACACACACACACACACACACACACACACACACACACACACACACACACACACACACACATTTGTTTAAGCCCCCCCAAACTCGCCAAACTGGCCAAACTCGCCAAGGGCAAGCTAAGCCGCCGTTTGTACCTCGATCTTGGGCACCATTCGAACGATCTCCTGGCAGCTGACTCACGGCAAGGCGCTGCGGGTTCACTTTGAACCCAGCCATTTGAGGAAGCCGCCCTGCTTTGGTGGACATGATTTGGGGATTTCTGTCCGCCAACCACTTTCAAGGGGGGTTCCTTATTAGAATTCACTGCCATTTAGGGGTTAGGTTCTTGGAGCCGCCAACCCGAAACCAGTCACTTCGCCCAAGAAACAAACCAGGACGATGCCACCAAAAAGAAGCCGCTCAATTTATTCAATTTCAGATGATTCTAGTGGGGGTTCTTAACCCGTATGGTGCCACTGCAAAACGGTGTGCAAGATTGGTTGGGCTTCCCCATTTCGAAAAGCATCCCCCTTAGGGTTGCTCCAAAATATGCCCACTTCTTCAAAACAACCTGGCACAAAACAACTGGCACAAAACAAGCAAAGGACGCCCATCCAGCGTCAAATAAGCAGCGAGCCGCCGAGATGAACGACTGGCAAAAGAGTAAGATTCCCCGCTAGAGGTTTGACTTTTAGAGGATTAAATGGCAACTAGCACTAAACACTAAAAAGCCAAAGAGCTAAGGAACCGGATGGCTGGGAGCCACCAAGGTTAACAGGGCAAAGCTGAAAGGAAACCGAACCACCAAGCTTTGAGGCGCAAGGCATGGAGAAAAGCTGGATGCCATCACCTGCTTTTGCAGGACCTGACAAACAAGTCTGACAGGTTATCACCTGACCCAGAGGGCAAACCAAACATGAGGGAAGGAAACACATAAATCCAGCAAGAAAAACGGATTGGATGCGCTTTCTGTGGTTTCATCGTATGTTTTGCTTGTCATGGTATGTTGCTCCTCATGTGTTTGTGGTTTCCTCATGTTTTTGTTCCTCTTTCATAGCCTTTTAGTACGTAGAGTTGCACTCCTACGGAGCTGGATCCACGAAAAAAACGGCAGAAACTTCAGGCGCTGAGACCCTGAGACCCATGGTGGATTCCCATGGGAAAAGCCAAAAGCCCCCGCCCCCAGTATTTTTGCAGTGGATGTTCAAATCGGCAACTCCCCATCCCCCCAAAAAAACAAAAACATGGTTCAATAGGTTTTTTCAAAGGTTTCTTTGGCAAAACGCTAGGACATGGTTTCAAAGGGCTGGGTGTTGAATATTTGAAACAATACACATCCACTGCTGTCTTCCTCTTGGAAAAAAACAAACACAACATGAGCAATGTTGCACCTAAAGGGGGTTACTCCCTCCGAACAAATTGAAAGGACAAATATTTGCTGGTGTTCAGGGAATGCTCCATGTTGGAAATGAACCGTTTTGGGTTCGCTTATAGGAAACACCATATGGAATGGTTATTTTTGGGTCATTCCCTCGTTCCCTTCGAGCAAGAAAAAAAAGACCCGTCGCGCGACTTGCAGCTTCCCTCTCAAGTCGGGGCCTGTGTCTCGATCTTGGGAACGTGCCTGCGGTCCCATCGCCAAGCGCGCTGATGTAAAGTCAGCTTCCGGAGCACCAACAATGCCCAGCGTTCAAGCAGACAATGCCTTCAATGCAACCGCACACACACACATAAATATGGTTTCAGTGATTCTGTGGAGTTCCGCCAGTAACCACAAGCCCACGATTCAACACAGAGGGGAAGCCTGCTTTTTCAGGCAATTCAGGCTTCCATCTGGGTTGCTCTTTGACCCCCAGCACACAGCCCGGACAATTTGCTAGTTAGTTGGTGCTTGGACACGCTCGCGACACTTCTGGACACTTAGCAGGCTTAGCGATCAAAGCGAAAGCAGCCACCAACTCGGCGCGGGTGGATTGGCGCAAACATGTCTATGAGCTTGTTGTCGGTCACCATATGTGCAACCACATGGGTAGTTTCCAATTGGTTTACTTTTTGAAACAAACCCTATCAAAGCTTCTCTAAAGCCCAAACACAAGGATATTTCTTAAAATGGCACCCCTGAAGAGGGAAACCTTAGGGACAACAAAGCGGCCTTTGAGTCTCCATTGCTTGCAGTTTGGAAGTGAACTGATCTTTGGGTTGGTTCCCACTTGATGACCACGAGCCACACAAAACAATGCAAACATGTGAGCAACAATGGTAGAAGTAGACTCTGGCGAATTGTTCGGGAGTAGTTCCATGTGGACCACAGACTGGATATGGTAAGACCAAACCTCCTGCAATCAAAAGCAGTCTAAGAGGCGAAGGGATCGAAACGTGTTTGCTCACTTCGGCTGCGAGCACCGCCAAGCGCCGCCTCACCACCTCTTGGATTTGCACTTGTGGCACCTGGCCAGGCGCGGGCCCAGGTCGTCTCCAGGAAGCCCAGTGGACTGTCAAAAGGGGCACCTGGTTTTTGCTTGGCTGCAACGACCCCTCGCCAAAAGTGAATCACTTTTTGAGGGAAGACGGAAAGTCCCACCTGTTTCAACCAAACAGCTTGTTGCGCGAAAATACTGGAAGAAACCCCACCACCTCCAATGAAACAAGAGTGCCACTGGCCTGAGTCCCAATTTGGGGGAGCCCAACAAATAGTGGTTTCCGTTGAGTTCTCCTGCTAAAGTCAGTGTTATGCCAGTTATGCCTAAATTACACCCTGTCAGAGGCTTGGCCTCCCTTCAAGTAATCCCAATACAAAACATGGCAAAACCAAATGGCTTCCTCCTCCAAACAAAGCAGTTTTCACCACCAGGGGAAAAAAGGCTCGAAAGGGAACCAGGCAAAATGGTGGCCTTTTGGCGACCCTCGAATGCAACCAACTGGGTCCAACCAATTTGACGAAGCCCCCCCGTCTGTACTTCCGTGCACCGCACAAAAAGGTGTCCGTTGAACTGCCCATCGCTTCCACTCCCCGTCTGGCAATGACTCCCAAACAGAGCCAGGATCAATTACTTGTTTCTCAAGAGGACATGAGGCAACTACTGAGTCCCCTCGGGAATTATGAGTGAGCCTCAAGTGTCATCCCTAGTGTTACTAATCAAGGGCGAGTGGATGACTCATGTTAATGCCAATTTCGGACTAATCCTTTTGACCACACTAATCAGCGAATGTTTCCGATGTAGTGCAGAATCCATGAATTTTAAGAGGTCCTCGGACTTCTTTGTTGTTTCCTGATTAATCTACCTTCAGCCAAGAGTACTACTTACTCTCTTTTTGTCAGGGTGCGACCAAGCCCTTGATGAACCGGGCAGAATGTTATGTTGAAGAACGTACTAAACATCAACGGATTTTAGGGGGTCCTCAAATGTTTTCGTGTTTTCCAGATTCAAGAACGTTTTGGTAAGCTTCAAAAGGCGTCCACGGCTGTGTTCAACATGCATGTCCTCCACCCCCAATCTTCGTAGCCCAGTGCTAAGCCAGCACATCCAACTCCCGCGAGTCTTTCAAGCCCAACAACTGTTGCCTCCCGGGACACACACACACACACACACCCACCCGCCCGCCCGCCCGCCCGCCCCCCCACCCACCCACCCACCCACCCACCCACCCACCCACCCACCCACCCACCCACCCTCCCACCCTCCCACCCACCCACCCACCCACCCACCCACCCACCCACCCACCCACCACCCACCCACCCACCCACCCACCCACCCACCCACCCACCCACCCACCCACCCACCCACCCACCCACCCACCCACCCACCCACCGCAAAAAAAAAAAAAAAACTGAAGGCCTCGAGGGGTTCTGCCCCCCAAATGATGTCCCCCTGTTTGATACCAGCTACAAAGCTACAAGCTTGTAGATTGAAACACCCACTGTATTTAGCACATTTGGAGTAACATACAGATTATCCGAACCTTGGAAGAAAAAACAACGCAGAAGAACAAACGCTTGCATGGGCAAAGCTAACCTGCCAGCATGTACCGCTTGTCTTTTTGGACCCTTAAATTCAGATGGCGCAACATTACACCAGGGTACAGAACAAACCCCCCACTTTGGACAGCAACAGCTTTTAAAACACAGGAAAAATGGCTCAAGAAGCGCAGCATGAGCATCGACACCGGGCCCTTCTCCCAAAGGAAGATTCTTCTGCCTTGATGGAATATGTGAGGGGCTCCCTATGTATGCCTTTAAACATCACCCCGCCAAAAGGAAGCTCATTTCAATTTGGACTTAAAAGCACCGCGGCCCTTTCGAGACTACCCCCCTCGTGTGAAGCTAGCCTCTGTCCATGTCATCAGCGCGCCGCACAAAGTGCGGTCTTTGTGAACCTTCCTCCAAAAGGGGACATACAGGAAACCAAGTATGTTCATGGTCCTCCTCTTTGACTTTCGGCACAGCGAGCAAATGTTGCTTGATGTTGCTGCTTGCTTTTTTTATCACAGCGGCATCCGGGCATCTATGGGGCTGGCAGATTTCCACACGGAAACATCAACTCCAGAAAGCGGGAAAAGGATGCCCTTCTCTTGTTGGTAGATTGTGCAAAGAGACACACACACACACACTGATACACACATATACACCAAAAAGGGTGAAAACAAACTCACCTTGTTGGAGTACTAGAATCCCCATGAGCGTTCGGGCATCCGTGCCTCAAGGACGCGATCCACGTATTGGACCTGGAAGGCTTCGGATCTGTGAGCAGGGGGCGGAACCCATTCCATTTTGGTTGGTCGATTCCATTTTTCACAGGTCTCGAACCAGGGATTGAGAGGATAGAATCCAAGCGCGGAGGCAAAAGCTCCCGGACCAAACACAAGAGCAAGTTGAAAGGATCCTTTTCTCGGCACTGGGACGAACATCCGCGAGCAAGACGCATGTGAACCATACCTTGGGGAGGGCAGAAAATTGGGTGGCCCCACTCAATTTTCTGTAGTGGGGGGCCGCGTCATTGTCTTTGGGGTGACACATGAAGGCACACGTCTTGCAGGGCTTGGCGACCCAGCCGGGTTTGCTCATGTCATGTTCCGTTTGTGAGGGGCTGGGACAGCGAATAGGCTGGCCGTCCGTTCCAGATCTGTGCCAAGACTAATTAAGTAATAGGCACTTGCCCAAATACCCCACGCTCAAAACCTTAATTAAAACTTGGTTCTGGCCATAAAGATTTATACGAGTCTGTCTCCAATCGGGATCCCCTGTTGGAAACCCAAACCAACTGCCAAGGGTCCCCCAATTTGGAGAAACACCAATATAGCCCGCAATTCCTACTGAGCTGAAGAGGGAAGTAGAACCCCTTTGCTAAATTAGGCAGCAGGCAGCATGGTGGGTTGAGCGCTCAGTTCGGAGTCGTGCATGTGTGTGTGCGTGTGCGCGTGTTTGTTTTGAGGGTACCCCTTTAGCATTTGGAGCTGGTTTCACGGGAGCCGATGTTTGCCCCTTCGACACATAGCCGCTGGAACGGAGTCGCTGAATCCAGATCCGCAAAGCTTCGAGCGAGCGAGACGCCTGGGGGACTTCCACGAGCTTCTCCACAACTTGTGTGTGGATCCTGGCGAGCCAGATTTTGGGCTTTTGTCTCAAAGGGGACTCTCAAAGATGGGGTGTTCCTTTTGACGCCCTTGAAAAACCCCAAACGATCAAAAAAAGAAACCGGTTTCGGGAACTTTTGAATAGACAACGCGAAACATTAAGCAAAATCCCTGGCCAGTGGTCAAGAGACCTGATATCTTGTTCAGATCTGAAGGAATCGGGTACACCTTCCGTCCATCCAGGCCCGCTCAATGTTAGCGCGACATGGCTAAGGCGGGAAAGTGAAGATCAGAATCCGCTTCAGGACCCGAGCTGCGATCAATTCGTTAAACTGGCAACGGGTAAACGGGCAAATCCCGTCAAAGTGACCCGACAATCGGGCACTCTCAACGATTGAAAACACAAAAGCCTTATCCCGTACACCTGTCTGTCCAACCAAAGAGTCCTGCTCATGGAGGATTCATACTCCAATCTGCCCCTCCAACCCCAAATAACTGGTTGGTGTGCAGTCGTCGAACATATCTGCTCATAGTCCTACGGCCCTCTCTCCAACAATCATTGAAGTGCACGATGCACAAGAGGATTTTGGAAGACTGCCATGATTTAAAATGGCCCCGTCTCCACTTGCATGACTGTTGGAAGGAGGGTAAGTTTTCGAAACCCAAGCCGCCAATTTACTGGGCCAGACTTAGATCCCCTGCGAAAAGTTACCTCTTGCTGGTTGAAAGGGAACATGACGGAAAACCAAGAGGGCAAACGGTTCAGGTAGGTCAAGCCTGGCAATGTGAAGGGTCACTCTGCAAATTGACATGAAACCAAAACAAATAACCATTATCATTAACCCAGTTGTGGGAAAAAGGCTTGTTTTTGGGGTTGGAAGTTGACTTTCCAGGGAACGCCCTCCAAGAGAAAGCCAAAGAAAAAAGGGGGCGGGTGTGTGGCAGGAGGATTCGTGGCTTTCTTGGGGCTTCAAGGAAACGCGGTTCGTCGGTAATGAGTCGGGAGCCACTTCGGCACGTGGTGTAGCCGCTCCTGGCGGATCGATCCCAACATCCCCAGAAGTTGTTTGCCAACGGCGACTTTTTGGGCGCGTCATATTTTTGGAGGGATCCCTTTTCGTTGCTTTTTTGTTCTTCGGGAAACCATAAGGAAACCCACTTCTTTCTTCTTTTTTGTTTGGGGTGAGGTTCCCTAAAAAAAACAGAAAGACTAAGCCGTTTTCTCAAACTGGAACCCGCCAGGCTGCCTGAACGAAAACGGTCCAAACCGGGACCTCTGGTGAGGTTTTATGGTACACCAAGCATGGCGAACAGAAAATCAGATGTACATATGGGTGTGGCTCAAAATCAAGTAGGGCTACGCAGGATTTAGTCTTTGGTTCCATTTGCCAGGGTGCCATTTTGGTGCATCTTTTTGACCCACAGCACATGCTTTATGCTTTGGGCTTCAGGTCGATCCCAACCATTTCCCGGTTGAGACTTTTTTCCTGTGGCCTCCGGTAAAGAATCAAAGAGGACTTTTCTAGGGCTACCTTCCCCATTCTTTCCAGGGATCCTTCTTTGCAGGAAGCCATCAAAAAACCAGGGGAAACTGCTGGTTGTTGAAAAGAACGATGGTTGAAAAGAATGAAAGAATCAACCCCTAGAACTTTAGACACGATCCGAAAAGGCGGGTCTATGCCCTTTGGATACTTGTTGGAGTTACAAGGGTAAGGGAACGCCCTCGATTGTGTTCACCCTGGGCGGGCCAACTCATTCATCAAGTTCAGCCGGTCAGAGGAGTTTCGGATCCCATGATTCTCCAGGATGAGCCAAGAATTTGATGAGCCAACCGATTCTTCCAACCGGAGGCGGTGGCCACAGGAGTAGTGGGAAGGGGTAGTGGGAAAGCTCTGAAATTCGCTACAACACCCCAACTTGATTGAGGGCTGTCCAGGATTTTCTTGTGAAAAACAACACATAATCTGAACCTGCTGCGGACTTTGATGCGGCATCTCAGATTCTGGAGGATGCGAATCAAATACATCTCTGATTCCTTTTTTGGCATCGACGTCAGGACTTCCGGCTTCGGTTGGCTCCCTCTGAAACCATTCCAAGGGCTTCACCACCCAAAGACCAAACGGGGCATAAGGAAACTATTGAACAGGTCGTTTTCCTGTTGGTTCGCCGTCACAATCATCCGCAGATCGGCTCTCAATTTTGAAGCGGACACCACTTTGATTTGGGGGCGAATACAAACATCCCCAATGTGATAATGGGATCGAGTGACTGAGGTGACCTAGCCACGTTGAATCGAACTTAAACAGTTTAAGTGAACCCTATCCGTTGTTGGTGAAGAGAAGGACATACTCATAGCCAATCCAAAATCAAACATTGGTCCGAAATGGGGTGATGCACAAATCATGCCATACTTGAATGCCAACCAAAACAGTCAAACCAACATCAGTAATCATACATGGTTAGAGGGGTTCTGCAGAGGCGATCCAGGCTACTCCCAAACCATAGTTATAAGCAGCTTGGCATGTTCCTTTCGTGTAGTAGAGCCGAGTCCGAGGCTTCTTTCTGGTTCGGGACCATGGGTACTCTCTCTCACATGGTCCACGCTTCTTTCCCCTTGCTGGACATGTTGAGCACCCCTGACTTTCGTCAGAAAGTCTTAAGGGACATGGGCTACCTGCAATTTTGACCGAACCTTATATGGCCATGGGTAGAAATCCGGTAATTACCCCTAGTGAACATCCCAATCCCCACTAAAATAGGTTCTAAAATGAGTGGTGAATTCACCTACCCCAAAATGGGATCCCATCGAATTGACCCACTGCCATATAGACGTCTTCTCTCTTCGTCCCCCCTCCTGGATCTCGATTTTCGGCACCTGGACATCACGCAGAGGGCTTCCAGTTCCACCCACTGGTTTTCAAGGCAACGTAATCCGCTCGGGCATTTTAACAAGGAGCACAGAATTGGGGTACCACATGGCACCACATTTCGGAGATGCCTCTGAACATACTTGAGCAGTGCCGAAAACAGGGTATATAAAACCATCTACTAACAAACAGCTTTCGCAGCACTTCTTCGCGATGCATTCGCGGTCACAAGTTTCACGTTCGCATGTGTTTTGTCATGATCACTTTCGCGGAGCTTTCGCGGGCAACACAGAAAGTGCAAACGTGCACTTTCGCGGCACTTTCGCGGCGCTTTCGCGGCGGGTTCTTCTTCATCCACTTTCGGCGCAATTTTTTGTGCCCTGTGTTTAGCTTTTGCGAGGCTTCGTTAGGAGAGGCCTTCAAATAATTGCTTTCTAAAGGGTTTTTGGCGCTGCCCATCATTCTTCGGGTTCTATGTCAATCTGCAAAAACAAATCTGCCTTAGATAGTGCAGACATAGCCAGTTTGCTGGCTGCTTGGTTACGCCATTTAGTCAGTGCTCCAAGATGCGGCGGCCGCCAGGAATGTCTGTGTCTGTGTGTGTGTGTTTGTCTGTGTGTGTGTCTGTGTCTGTGTGCTTGTGTGCTTGTGTGTGCGTGTGCTTGTGTGTGTGCGTGTGTGTTTGCGTGCGTGCTTGTGTGCTTGTGTGCTTGTGTGTGCTTGTGCATGCGCGCCTGCGTTTGCGTCTGCGCGTCTGTGTGTGTGTGTGTGCGTGTGTGTGCCTGGTTAGTGCCTGTCGTCGTGCTTGCGTTGGTGTCTGTGTTTGTGTTGCTTAGGTGTGTGTGTGTATGTGTGTGTGTTTGTGTTTGTCAAACGGCGACAACAATCCCGTGGCATGAGTGGCTACCTGTGTCTGTAGGAGTTTGCAAGGTCAGAAAGGCCATGCGTTAATTTTCCTCATGTTGACCGCATTGAGGTGCCTAGGCTCGGATTAACATGACCGTTCTGCAGCTGGCGAGGATGTACTAGTACATCGACACTTTGAGCGACCGCGGCCCTCAGAGGCTGTGCTACGCAATCCACCGCTAGGCACGTTACCCGTGCTGCGTGAGAGAGCGAGAGAGAACCGGCGACAACTGTTGACATAAGTTGCAGATGTGCTCTTGTGTGTTTATTTGCATGGTTATGAATATTTACACGAAACCGCACACACACACACAAGCACGCAAGTACGCAAGCACAGAAGCACAGAAGCACAGAAGCACAGAAGCACAGAAGCACAGAAGCACAGAAGCACAGAAGCACAGAAGCAGAGAAGCACAGAAGCACAGAAGCACAGAAGAACAGAAGCACAGAAGCACAGAAGCACAGAAGCACACAAACACACAAACACACAAACACACAAACAGAAAACACACACACACACAAGAGTAGAAAACACACACACAGGCACACACACACCGAGACACACACACAGAGATTCACACAAAGAGACACACACCCACACGCACACAGAGACACACACACACACACAGAGATTCACAAAGAAACACACACCCACACGCACACGCACACGCACACACACACACACCCACACCCACACCCACACGTACACGCACACACACACACACACACACACACACACACACACACACACACACACACACACACACACACACACACACACACACACACACACACACACACACACACACACACACACACACACACACACACACCGAGACACACACACACACCGAGACACACACACACACAGAGAGACACACACACACAGAGACACACACACCCACACGCACACGCACACGCACACGCACACGCACACCCACACGCACACGCACACACACACACACCCACACACACACACACACACTTGGAGTATGACACACACACACACACCACACACATGTTTTCCCTGCACTGAAATAATGGCAGGAAGATGAATTATTCCTGTTGTGGATAGACAACATCCGCTTCTCACAAGTTGGGACGGATTTTGCGCCCCACGAGCACAGGGATTTTTCACCACCTTTCAAGTTGGGGAGTTGCCTCGATGCTTTCGGTCCGGCCACTCAGCGCATCGGGGTTGTTCTCAGTCCGGCGTCAGATCGTTTCCAAACATCCCTTGAAACCTTGAGGAAAGAACCGGCCGGAAAATGTCGTGAAGTCTTTTCGCGGCAGGGTTTCCCAATCTTCTTGCCCAAAACCGGGGGCAAAGTGACAACCGTGTTTCCAGCAAATTGTTGGGAGCTTTTAGGTGTTCTGCTTCCCTGTACCAGGGTTGTGAAAGCAAGTTGGATTGTTCAACAACTTTTGTGATGCGCCACCTCCCCCTCTGCAGTAGGTGTTTGTTTTCAAAGGTGTCGCACTGGCTGCACTTTCCACGGCTCTGCTTTGAACAGCTGAAGTGGTATTCCCAGTGCTGTTTGTTTGGTTTTCTGAATAGTTTCACTCTGTTGCATCAATTGGGAGATCGAGCCCAAAGACCTCAAGAGGCTGGCGGACATGAAATTTCACTTAAATTATTTGTGGCTGGAACTGTCCCTTACTATCCTTCACCTACCAGAGTTTGACTTTAATTCAATTGAGGTTGCCAAGTTTCCTGTGGATTTAGGACATCCTCCCCTGGACTTAGCCTGCTGAGTTTGCTGCGTGATGACGCCACTTCAAGTTTGCCAACTCAAGAGGTGAGTTAGTTCTATCTGAAGGCGACTTTGGTGCGTTAGCTTCCCTGTCCTTCATTGAGCCACTTGCTTACAACCTGTTCAGGTAGATGAAGGCTGGTAAGGCATAGTCCTAACTATCCATGTATAGGTGCGGCCACCCTTTTAGTGTTTGCTTGAAGTTAGTCTATCAATTACATGTTGTAACATCTCAGCCATACTCATCCGATTGCCCCAACATGAGGCGGATCTCTGGGGCTCGCTCGTGGATTCCCAGCTGGATGTGAGCGACGCATTTCGGCGAGTAAATGCATTTAGCAGCTTTTAGGGGATTCCGTACGTCCTGCCTTAGTTGTACAAATAGCAACAATAGAGGCAACGTAAAGTGAATACCCAGCTTCTCCTTGGACAAACAAGCCCGTGGATCTCAGTTACCCTTTTAGTAGGTAACCAGCTATTCTCTTCTGGGCTTTCATATCGGGTGGTTCCCTTATTTACCAACTTTTATCAGGTAAATGGATCACTGGGAAGGACACACACGATTGCTTGGGCAAGAGCACACCCAGGTTTTCGTTGGGAAAACGTGGACACCATTGACGTACATCCAAAGTTTGGCCAGCCGGAGTCTGGGTTAATAAGCAGAAAATAGTAAACCAGGGAGAAAGTAGATGGCACGATGCCCTCTTGTGTGCATAACAAAATGATTAACCCCACTGTAAGGCCTACGGCATCTTCGGGATCACATCGGACGGGTTTATGAATCCGGGGTCAACATGAAAGATCCAAGCCAACTTGCTTGCAGTTGATCGATCTGCAAGAAGTTCCTCTTTTTGCGGGTCCAATGGAACATCCACCGTTTCCCCAAAAAGTGAAAGTCCAACAATCCGTTGCCAACTAGACGTAAAGGCCAATCGCGTTTACGTCGGAAGGCCTCTACGATCTTCTCCACCAACTGGACTTGCGGCACCTCCCATCGCCCAGAAAAAAACGCGAGAGACGGCAGTCCGAAATCCAATACTGCTGGTTCCCATGTCCAAAATCAACAGCACTGTCCAAAAAGCAGAGGTTGGGGCGGGGGGGGGGGGGCTGTTTTTGGGTCTTTTAGGAAAAGCAAAAGAAGTGCGGAAAAGTACACAGCGCAACTTGTCCAGATGATTCAAGCCTGATAGATAAAGAATCTTCACTGCATATGGGCATACAAGCACCACCTCCAACAACCAAGGCCACAACCAGCCGTCCCAATCAGCATTCGCACTCATGTGGCGTTCTTTAGTCTCATGTAGCTCAAACCATGTCATTGTGAATGGACAACATTTATTTCGCACCAGTTGGTGAATAGCTTCATCCATCCCAAATGAAGCGTCCGCCGTTCAAAGCATGTTTTCAAAACTATCGATGGACCTGTCTCCCCATTGCCGAAATGCCGAACACGGGGAGTGCTTTTCCCCGAACTCCAATCATATAAAGTTTCCTGGGACCCTCCAACCACCCCTCCCCTCCCCTCCCTCCCTGCAGCACGCCTTGAACATTGATCTACTTACTTTAGTCTTTCCAAAGGGGGTGTGTCAGGGGCCCACCAGGGCACCAGGGTGTCGATATCTCAACACATTTGAAGCAATTTTCCGAGAGGCGACCGATTCCAAGGGACGAAACTATATATCTCCTTAGTGGAAACCAACAAACAGAAATGGGATGGTGAGACACAAGACCTGGAACAAGCTCACTCCAAAAGTGAAGATCCATTCTGGGGGCATTTGGCAAAGAAGGTTCGAGAACCAGCCAAAAGGTCAGCTGAAAAGCTTGCTGTCAACCAAACGCAACCCTCCCCCCACTTTCCAGAAGCCCCTTGTTGAATCCCTCCCCATTCTCCAGAACCCTGAGGGGGTTGTTCATCTTCAAGCAACACGACCTCCGTTTGCTGTTTCCCGGTCATCTCGTCACAGCTGGAGGCTTGTAGCATAAGAATCAGTGACCTCTGTGACCGATAAATTGGGGCCCACCGGTCAGCCCCCAGGTGGGCCTTTCCCTTGACTGAGCTGTCCTCAGATCCCCCATCAAAAGTTTGACTTTTAGTGGGCCAAATGGAAAACCCCACTAAGCGCTAAAAGGCTGAAAAGCTAAGGGGATGGCTTGGAGCCACCAAGTTGACACCGTTTCGAAAAAACGGGGAGGTGATCCCACAACCTCTGGTCATCCTTTATGTTGCCCTGACAAAACCAAGGTCAAGAGGGTAGCCTCCAACACGCACACAGCCACATGGGCGTCCCCCCAAATGTCGTTGAGAAACACTTCCTTTCCCCCTTTTGGTAAGCCCAACCCATCCTCAAATGAGGGGACCCAAGAAACCCCCCCAATGCCTGGATTGCTTTGGCTTCCATGGACAAGCTATAACACGCCTCCCCTTTTGCGATTCAGAAAACTCCCAACAAACTCGACTTGTTTCAAGCCCACCCACAAATCATATCTTGACCCTCAACGAATCAAACCTCTCACTTCCAAAGTTGACTGGCCAAGGGCCGAGGGGTAGCCTCAGACATGGTCTCGCGTCCGATGGCCTCCACGAGGCGGTCCACGGTGCGGACCTCCACCTTGGGCACTGTGCGCAGGATCTCCCGCACCTCGATCTTCGGCACCTCAAGAAAAAACAAAGAAAATCCGCGAGGTGAGACTCGGACAAAAGCTTCCCTGTGCTTTGGCCCCAGTGCTTCCAGTTAAGCCAGTAAATATGTAAATAATAGCACCTGCTACAGTTTCATACTATAATAGAGGTAACTGGAAACACTGGGTCTAATTGATTGTTTGCTTGGTTCAGAGCTTGGGGGTAGTGTTGAATTTACCCTCCGCAAGAACCACGGGCTTTACTGTAATAACCAAGTCACGAATTCAATCCACAAGATAAGGGCTACCTGAGGCGTCCTGCTAAAAGGGAAAGGGAACCTAAAAACACCTGTGGTGGGGCCCCCGGGAAACTGCAATTCAAACAAAGACACCGGCTTAAGTTCTGAAAACATCTGGGGATCTACTAAAGAAACCATCTGACGGATGTTTTTACAGGAAGTTAACGTGGTTGTATGGTTCATCCTCTAAAAAAGACATTCCTGAAGGTGGTGTCTTTGAATTTAGTGGAACCCATCCAAAACTGTAAGGAACCAGAAAAAAAGAAAGACAGGTCTGGCTGAGGGTTCTGGCTGATGAACCTCCAAAATTCAAAACCCATGACAGCCCTCCACCGACCCAATCCTGCACCTCGGATCGTTGAGGGTTTCTTATATAGCTGGAACCATCCCCCTAGGTGGGTGGTTTGGTGGTTCAAGGGTGGGTTTCCCATTTACCCTCTACAAGAGGTTCAAATCTCCCACCAAACCTCCAATTATAAGGGTTGCCTGAAAAAGCTCCAGACCTATGGATTTGGAGAACCACAAGAAATGGCTCCTGCTTCGGTTGATGGAGGGGGAATTTGAAAGGAGATCTCTGGGGTTCCCAAGTCCTTGGTGACTATGGCCGCGCTGGCAAGAAATCGGCCCCAAAACCAGAGCGTCCCAGAAATTGTGGGTGCTTGAGGCTCACCCGGTTTCAGTTTGGTCCAGGAAATCAAAGACGAAAACCGCAATTTGCGAGATCTCCCTACATCACACCAGGAAATCAGAGACAAAAACCACAATTTGTGAGATCCCCCTACATAACACATACCCACTCATCTAGAAGGAGCAGCCCTGGTGGAACAGGTTTGTGGTCCGAGAAGAATCGAAACGCAGTCCCGGCACGGACCCCAAGAGAACACAGACAGGCATGGCAACTTGCTACAAGGCTGCCTTGTAGGGGACCCCTTCAACAGCTGGTCCTGATTCCCTTTAACGTTGACCCCGGATTTATAAACCCCTGTTTATGAATATGTGGGTGTTCCCCTCCAAAAGTGATGAATCCCCACTAAAACCAGGGACGCCCCCACATCAACAACCAGGGGTATTAATCCGGGGTCAACATTATGCGGGTAAAGGGATGACATAACCCAAGCCCCAGCTCAAACCTAGGGAACCCCCTCCCTTTGGAGGAAAAAACACACTTCTCTTCCTTCCGAACCTTCGCCATAGGTACCCAAACCTTTCCAACCATGATGCTAGAGGTAGCGAGTCATACCCAAGGCTTAGCTGTATATTAAACCACCAGGGGACTGCAGGCTTTAGTCATTGTTCCATTTAAACGGGTTTCATTTTGGGTACCTATTCTTGACCCACAGCCACACAGTGACGCAATGCAACGTCTGGCACTGGGCACTCAGCCTCCACCAGTCGCTCTTGGAGGTGGACTTGCGGGACTTCCACAATCCTCACATCCGCGGTGCACGAATCGGGCAACGCAACGCCGGGAAACTTGGCTTCTCTCTGATTCGTGTGGAGGTGTAGATGTGTGCTGATTTCCCGTTTCTCTGGAACCAGGGGTTCAAAACCACAAACCAGCCACCCAAACCAAGGAAACGATTTATAAGAGTTACCTGACAAATCAAAAGAGCGACAAAAGGAATTTAGGGCTCGTGTTTGATGCCCCACCAGTGCCACCTCTGCATTGCCCTGTAAGGGGCGTCTTGCAATGGCAATGACGAACGTCAGAAAAGACTGGCAGCGCAACAGGGGAAATACGTGTACATTTTCAAAGGGCCCTGCCAAGAACACATAGCCCGCGTGCTCCCCCGCGCTGAAGTGCATACTGAACACTGTAAGGCAACTGGGTACCCTTCATGGAACATGTCCCTTGTAGACCCTCGATGCCCCCGACATGACTTCACTTAGGGACTGCCCTTGACACGGAAATCGGCAACCCTGGGTCGGTGGCAAAATGGGCAGTATTCGTATTGCTACGCCCGATAATTCGAGAGTGCCGATGGGGGGGGGAAGTTGACTTAGGAGCCATTTTCAGTATCAATCCTCTAGTAGGAAGGGCACGTATCGGCGCCGGTGTCCAAAAAACAGGTCGCAAGTTTGAAAACCCTCCGTTGTATGCCCTCCAAATACGTTGCTGTTCTTGTTGAGTCAAGCAACTTGTTCAAAGGATTGAAATTGATCAAATGCTTCATTTCTGCTCCCAGACTGCTCTGAAGTTCCGTGTCGATGCATGCACATGACATACATTTCACACTGTGCCCTCTCTTAGTTGTAAGCTGCATCCGTCTTCATGCTACCTGAAGGGACAAACTTCATTCGCGGCAATGGGAGCAAAGTCCAAAATGCAACATGCCTGAAGGGTTCCCATCAAACATCATGGATATATTCATTTCTTGTCAAAGTGGATAGCAGCAGCAGCATGGTCTTTGCAAGATCGCGATGAGCGAGAATGCGAGTACCTGTTTCAAGTGAGCAACATCAAACTCCCCGCAGTCTCTGTCGCTAACAAGTGCTCCTGATCAGTGGCATTGTGTTGGTTTAAGAAAGGAAACCCACAGCTGAGAAACAGGTCTTCGGGCCATTCATCCTCTATTGAACTAATTTGACCAATTTGACCAAATTTCCCCAGCACGAATTAGTGACCCCTAAGAAAACTTCACGCAATCGCTCGTTTGACACCTAGGCGAGCTTCATTGCTAATAGTAGGAGCTTGCTATTAGTGCCTGCTATTGGCTTGCATGTTCCTTACCAAGGGGGGGAAATATCCAAGGGGGCACGATCCTGCGCCACTTAGGATGGATGAACCCCAACGAATACTGGGATAAACCACTTGTACCAACTGGCACGGAGTGGACTTTCTCCATCCATAGTAGAACGAGTTTCCTGGCTTTCCCTCAACCGCAATGAAAGTCGATATTCAGCAAGCGTCTCGAATTGCACCTATGGTTTTGGTGAGGTTCACCTTCGGTGTGACGCGTGGGCAAGGGTTCTCAAGTCTTCGGCTACCTCAGAACAGCTTCATAACACAAAACATGGGTAAAGTACCGGAATGCATGAAGTACTGGGCTTGAGTCTTTCCAACGGAAAGCCCGAACTGGACCCCTAAACGTGGTGGAAAGTCAGCATGAGGGTCATGCCCTTGACTAGTTTGTCACTTTGAAGGGGATTCCGGCCGTTGAGGATACCTTGTTCATTGGAGTTTTACAGGGAAGCAACAGCAAAGCCACTCATTCTTGAGGGCCCCGTTTGGAGACAGACACCAAAAGTCAGAAATGCGAAACGCTTTGTCCAACTTGGCCCGAACGGGAGTTGCTCTCAAGCCCCTGCGGTGCGAAATTGGTCCTGAACGGGAAACTAAAGGAAGCCGACCAAGTTCTTAATAGTTTGGTCATTGCAAGTTGCAAGGAACTGTGAAACCCACTTCATGGCTGTTGCGGTTCCAAACAAGCAACTTGTACCAGCCAAGTCCAGTGGATCCCAATCACCCTCATAGTAGGTAACCATCTTTTCTCCAAGTTTTTAAAGGGTTGCCCTGGATGCCTCTTACCAGGTAATGGATCTGGGGAAGGATAGCAATCTCTTCTCAACGAACAGAAACCCAGTTCTCAGTTGAGAGCCGCGGAAGTGGGCAAGCCAAGGCTCTTCTCCCGGTACTCCATGTGAATCTTGGGCACTTCCCGGACGATCTGGCGCAGATAAGGGCCAAACCCGTGTCGAACCAGGGGTCACTGTCTCACTGTCGACCGCGGGTCAAATAGTCATGGGGGCTTGGGGGGGGGGGGGGGGGGGAGCCCTTGATGAGGCCTTATTTAGGGCTTACTCCCCCCCCCTCCCTCCCCCCCTCCCTCCCCCCCTCCCTCCCCCCCCAGCCCTCATGAAATAGGGGGATCCTAGTAGGGGCACTAAGATGGATCATTTCCCGACTAGGGCGCCATCCCTGATATCAGGGTCCGGATTTATCCGAGGAGAACATCACTGCATGACCCGGGTCGACCTTTAAAACGCTGTTCATGAAACCGGGGGCGATCATGAACTCACAACTTCATTCAACCCGGGTCGTGCATTTTAAACTCACCCAATGAAGGATCTTTTCAAGACACGAAACCTGGTCCAAAGACTTGACTGAAACAGAAAATCTGTTTCAGAGGGCCAAATGGTGCTGTTCTGTTCTGGGAAATGATTTTAAAGGAAACAAATCTCAAGTGGTGGAAAATTGAGATGCCCAGCGGCCATGGGAAAAAACGACTCTGTACCCCTTTGTCCTTGGTTGAGTTGAAAGGTGAACCCTTACCCAAAAAAGTGGGCAAAAAGGGCGGAATCCACCGGGCAACAGAGAAAACAAAAACAGCCAGGGGGAATTGCCCAGAAACCGAGCTTCAAGCTTCCAATGAACAACCGAGCTTCAAGTTTCCAATGCACAAACATTGACGTCTCAAGTGTCCCATCGTCAAATCTCTGATGTCATGTCGCCAGCTTATTTTATGAGAGCAAGTGCCTCGCAGCGAACTGTTTGCAAAAGATACCTATTTGGTCAAAACTCATGAAACTTCCTGTGGGTCACAGTCATAGCTCCCTCAAAAAAAACCTTACAAATTATTGGACCAATTCCTTAGTTGATGACCATCCCGCCCTACCGTGGATGAACGAAATCCTGCACCAATGGGAAACTGTAGTTTGTTGGCAACATTCCAGGGTTTCTTAGGTAGTGCAGGATTTCGTCCATCCACAGTTCTAGGGGTACCTTCCCCATTCTTTCCAGGGATCCTTCTTTTCAGGAAACCATTAAAAAACTCAGGGAAACAGACGGTTCTTGACAAGAACGATGGTTGAAAACAATGGGGAATCAACCCCTAGAACAGTATCCCCAAGCAAACGGGAGCTCTGATGTCCGACCACATTTTCCCTGGCTCCGCCTTTCGTCTCGAAAACCCGCACCTCGTGCACCTCCACCTTTGGTACATGGCGTAGCACCTCCTGCACCTGCACCTGCAATGGATTTCCGAGCACAAACAACACAGCCGAAACACGTTCTGCGCGGTCCAGTGAGTCAGAAACACGCATTCTGCACTGGGGAAATTACTCACCGTGTCAAAAAACGGAACGGACTGACCTTCCGACTCAATGGCTAGCTGCTTACTGTGGATGGTGAAGTCGTGCTGTCCGCTACGAATAGGCGTGCCCAAACACTGAAAAGACACACCCATGTTTTGCGCCTGACGTACCAATTTGGCGAACGCAGGTTGTGATGTGTGGAATATCTTACAGGGATAGGTGTCCTTCCCGGAGCTCGCAGTGCTTGCACCTGAAAAATTGTCCAAGACCGCGGGAAGGTCGACTAATCGGTAAGCTCTTGTCACCTCGGGTCAGTTTTCTAAAGCCAAACACTGGCGAGCAAAGGCCAAATGCAGTGCCTAAACCTTCTGGTTGCCTACGAACAGTTTAGACAGTTTAGACAGTCCAAGACATGGATAATGATCAACTATTTAACCGAGATTTCAATATACCGTCTCCGCCAGGATCATTTGGTAAAGAGCATAAATTAAACAAAAGATATCGGCAAACGCGGGCCCAGAATAGTATTTGCTTTGTCAACCATGTTGCGTCTGTCTGGGACATGAAGCTGGGCCGACCAGCGGGAGCTACATTTCCAGGCGGATTTCTCGATTTTCCTCAAAACCCGGCGGTGTTAAAGCAACACCAAAAGGAAAACGGCCATTTTGGGGGATTCTCCGGGGGGATTCCCCACATATTGCATGGGATTCGTGGTTGATATCCCAGTATATATAGTCAAATCAGATTTCATGCATCCCAATGGGTGCAATTTACTCGGCCAGTTTTCACAAGGTCCATGAGCTCTTGAGGTGCTCTGTCCCTTGACGATCAGCTTGACGGCATCGTTTCTTCAGTTTCGGTCCCTAAAGAACCAGCAGCTTGCGTTACTTCGCCCAGAGATTCTAGAACGTAGCATAATTTGGTTCTCAGGGGACCTTCATATTGAGTGAGGGGGCAGGGACCAAAGCCCCACTCACAAAGGTGCTTGTGAAACATATGGCCATGGGTCAAAAGCCCGTACCCCCAGTGAACATCCCAACCCCCCTAGAATAGGTTCGAACATAGGTGAATTCACCTACCAACCAAAATGGGATCAACCACAACGGTTTTGACAACCACCCAAAAAAGAGAGAAACAAAATAAGAAAAAAGGCAAAAAAAAGAGCGAATTCTGGGGAAGGTTCACGGGCTTCACTCTTGACCTCAAGGGCTCGGATGTTAGACGGAAGTCACGTGGGGGTAGCCACTTTGACTCGGAGAAACCAAAGGAACTGCAGGAAATCCTTGCTTTGGGTGGTTATAACTACCCAACGTCCAGAGATTCCTGGCTGGCTTCTCAGATTCTCCCGCTTGAATTGATCCAGATTCGAGATTGTCTGGGGAACCCCTTCTAGAGGAACACATTGATCCACTGATCAAAAAGGGCACATGGAGCGGAAAAGAGAAACCACAGGAAACCAATCCAATCTTGATGGCAACCCCGTCCCTAACTTGAGACCGTTTTTTGAAGAGAGTCATCCATTTTCCCGGAAGTATCGCTTTTAGAGGGAACCAGTTTCTTGGTTTTAAACGGAACCAAAAGGACAACAAGGCCATGGTTGGGTGACCCCAAACAAGCTGACCAGCCCAGAAAAAAAAGAGTCAAGTCCCCTCGCCTGAGGCACCTCCACGAATTTGTCCACGAAGGCGACCTGAAAGCGCCCAAAGGGTGGCGGGGGGAGGGGGGGAGGGGGTGGGGGCCATAAACTGGGATTTTGGGAGTCTGGAGCAACTAAAGAGTCATCCATTCCCTTTTGGTTGGGGAAGATAGAATAAAAACAGGCGTGTTATTTAGTTGATAGGAAGTGCTGCGTAAAACATGGGCCAAGCGCGCACAGTTTTGGGCCACTCTCTCCGGCATCCTGTAAGTGGCGAGGGGAGGGGGGTTGGATTGCACGACCCACAAGCAATGGTGAAATCTCCCCAAATGCAAGGCATGGCCGTTGCCTGAACAGGAAGCCTTGCCATAGCGCGAAACACCAAATGAAGCCTTGCAGTCAGGCAGGATGGAGGTCAGTGCCTTGGGATGAGGAACTCCCAACTGATGGGAACTCGGAGGTCGGGTACATGAAGGCAAGGAACTCGAACTTCGGCCCATGGCCTCTTTTTCCAGACCGGCCGCTTTCTTTGGTTGATTGGTGTCCCTCCAAACGGAGGAAGAAAAGGCACCACAAATGCTTGAATCACCCTGGAAGTCACCTAACACCTGAACCTACCCTGTACCGTACCTTGCCTCAAATGGGCGACCAAAACCCATTGTTTGGTTCCATTTACAAAGTTGCACCGGTTTCTATTCTTACTATAACCATCGATGTAACTATATAGTCGAACCACAAGTAAAAAACAACCTGGAAAGCGTCACGTGATGTTTGGCTCTATCTACCTCCACTTGCTTTATTAAGTCGCGGTGCAAAAATAACAACATGTCCAGTAGTGAAAACGATTCCCTGTAAAACCAACATGGGAAAATGTGAAACGCGTCTTTTCAGCAAATGGATTTTTGCTAAGCTGCTCGCTCAACAACCCGTGGTTTTCAACCAGGTCCAACACTCGGGATTTTGGGCGCTAAAAGCGGCCTGCGGCACCTCCACCAACCTCTCCACCGTTCTGACCTGGCCACTGGGGAAAGGACGCAGAAACGGCCCCCGGTCTAAGGACAGCCACGTTGTGTCAAAAGCACCTTGGCCATGTGTCAAATTGAACATCTTCATTTTAACCTGTTGGTGTCCCTTCAACAAAAACGCAGACCCCAATTTAGAAAAGCGGCAAAACCGCAGAGCTCTTTCTGCGAGCGGGCCAAGGACATCCACTGCAGGCAGAAACGGTTATGTCTCAAACTGCGGATTTGGACTTTCAAGATGGGCTGGTGTCCCTTTGAGCCACAAAGACACGTGCCCCGACTGTGTGCGTGTGTCTCCAAATGAGGGTAGGCTTAAGGCCAAACACCTTGAGGCGAACACTCCAAATGTTTTGCATTCTGAGCACATCCAGGGTGTGTTTTTTTTTGGGGGGCGTGGCTCGCTTGTGCGCTTTTGCCTCGACGCCAATGTTCAGGCTCTATGAGGTCTTACAGGCAAACCAATATGTAACTTCAAAACCAACATCCATATGTGGGGTATCCAAATTCTATTGACACACACACACACAACTTCCCCCCCCCACCTTCCTTTACACATGAAGCGATTCGCCAGGTTGCACACACACACACAGACACACACATAACCCCCCCGCCCCCCCTTGCCCCTTCTTGACAGATGAAGCCGTCCACCCGGTTGTGCGTTGTTGCGCCCCGACTCGAACGCAAGATGAGCCCGGCTGAAGGAGCAGCTCCGGCCTCCACCTTGGGCACCTCTCGGATGATCTCCTGCACTTCCAGGCGGGGCACCGTGCGCACCACCTCACCGATGCGATTCGGAGCCGGGCAAAGCGAAGAGGAAGGGCAAGTTTGGTTTGACCCAGGGCAAACAAGATGTGTGTTTTCAGTTTTGAAGACCTCCTGCTTAAAAGCTAAAAAACAAAAACATAAACCAAACAAAAAACATGTTTGATACAAATATTTTCGCTCAAATCTATGGCTTCTGCCTCCCTTAGGCACATCCTCGAAACTCCAAGCCAATGACCCTTTCTGAGGGGGACCACCAAAAGGTGGCGCCATTTCTTCCACGTAGATGTCCATGGGAGGTCGAAACAACCCGACCCGACATCGGCAGGCCTCCTGGATGTGGACCTGCGGAACCTCCACCACCTTCTCCACATGGCAGACTTTGGGCACCTGGCGGTTTTTTTTGGTGTTTCCAAAATCGGAAACCAATGGTATTCAATGGCCGTGGTGGTCCAGTGGACCTAAATGGAAAGCACTAGCACCTGCGGTCCGTATCCAGGTGGCTTAATTTTGACCCATACACGAACGGACACCTAACCACTAAACCAAACCGGATGGCCGGGAACCAGCAAGAAACCAATTCGCATATCCAGCAATAGCACCCTCCTGTCCAACATGGAACCTGATTCAGGGGTTCAAGACCATTTTCCAATTCAAACATGGACCCTCTGGTGGGTTCCACGAGAGTGGACAGGAGGGTAAACTAAATCGAAGACCCCAGGTCAACTCGAGGGTGTGGTTCCCCTTTCTCAAGCATTATTATTTTGCATAGAACGAAGAATCTCTGGATAGCATGGGAAGTTACCCTAGAAACACTCAACAAATATTTCGGTAAAACAAAACAACACGCACACACACAAAGAAAAATAATGATGGATGTGTCAATGTCTCTTCTTTTCTGGAAGGCAAACTAGCCAATTTTGAGGATTCCCATATTTTGAGACACTGGCTGGGCCACACCAAGGGGATGGAGAGCGTTTGACGTGTGATTTGTCCAGGTCCGCCTAGGTTCGTTCCCTAACCGACCTGGTGCTGCGAACTGTTGGGTTTTGTCCAACTCTATCATAGCTGGATTCGATCTATGGGTTGCGCCCCAAGGCAGATTAGGGGAACCCAAGCAGGGTGTTTTGTTTGGCTTGCATTAAAAAAAACAAACACCAAAAAAAAACACACACAACCAAACCTGTGCTACCGCTCCCAAAACGGGCACCCTCAAAACTCCCTTCTGACTGGATCGCCACAAAAACAAGAACTGTTTCCTTGCCACTACTGTCCGAAACCCAGAAACTCTGGGCCATTTTCGCCGCCCCATGCTACCCTCGGCAGGTCCGCACCTCCACCAGCCTCTCTTGCACTTGGACCTGGCAGCTGGCCACCGAGGATGCTCCGAAATTGAGTGCCCGTTGGTCCCTTTGAAGGAACCAAAACTAGGCTGGAATTAGGACCCCAGCATTTTTGCCTGGTTAATGGAAAACACAATACCCCAAAAAAAGCAAAACAAAATGAAGGGGAGCTAATTCTGGGGAAGAAAAAGGGATTCTCAGATCCTTCGCTTTCGACCCTGTCACCCAGAGCAACGTCATCACCCCTGACGTACCATTTTCCGTTACCCGGAAACCAGTGGCCGTGGGCAAAAGGGGCAACCTCGGTTCGGTACTTGGCTTTACGCTCCTTCCCAAAACCGGTACAAAGCCACCAGTGTGCTAAATGTTTGACGGGCCCCCGCCCTCAACACCCCCGCCCCCCCCCCTCAACACCCCCCTCTAGTCATACCCAGTTGCCCAGAGGCGCCCTTTTCCCCCCTTTTTTTTGGCAAGGGTTCCCCGTTAAACTCCACCAAACAAAAAAGGACGCTCTTGTTTATCCCGTGGAAATCCACTGCATAGGTTACTTGCTGCGAAGATCGTGAGGAGGGCCACCAACAGCTCACAAAATGCGTGGGTGGACGCCTCTGTCGAGCAGGCTAGCAGTGAACGGCTCAAACACGAACCCCTAGAGCCCCCACAAGAGGCACAAATATATGTATATATATATATATACATATATGTGTATATATATATATATGTATATATATATATATATATATATATGTCAGGAAGGTTGAAAACCGAACCGGAAACCGGTTAACCGAACCGGTTTTCAAAACCGCAAAAAAAACGGAAACGAACCACAAACCGAACCGACCAAACCGAACAGAAACCGAACCGTCAACAGGTTTGCAGGGGCAGCAAGCCCACGCAAGCTGCCCCTAGAATGGCAGAGCGACCGCGCTGCCTGCCAGGCCGGTTTCGGAAGGTAATCAGAAATGGGAGGGGGGACTGGACAGCTATACCGCGGACCTTGTCGAGAAAAAAGGTTCTTGGGAGGGTTCCGCCAAAGTGATCTTCAAAGGGTTCTTCAAAGCTGTAGCGCAAACTCAACAAATACCAAATCGGTTCCGCAGAGCCCAGGCCAAGCAGCAAACAACAACACAGCCAGGCGCTCCAAAACGCTTTGCAGAAACTTGGGGATTGTACGAGGGCAGGGGGTTTGCCACAAGCGTCTCTGTGCATGGCCCCAAACGATGAAAACCTCTGGAGATCCGTTTGGCGCCCAAAAGGGTTCCCCATGAAGATCCGCAACGCGTTGATTGCAGGCACGATATGTGACTGAAGAAAACCGTTGGAGAACACCCAGGGGAAGACAGCCACAAACAGTTCACCACTTCGACCCACGGAAACCAAACACAGCTTGCTCTTACAACAACTTCCCTATGGCCACCAGGCATTTTGCGCTCCGCTTCACGTCTCCGAAGAGCACTTTTGTGCTTTCCGCTGCTTCCACCCTTCTTCACCAAGCCATCCCCTCTTTGCATTTTCATGCCCGAAGAGGAGTTTTCCTGCCTTGTGACTGCTCAGCCGAGGACGCTTCTATCGACAGCTCTGCCTGCAGCAGAGAATGCCCTCTCCACGGATGCAGTGCTGGGCGGAGCTGACAGCACCCACATTGCCGTTGTGGCCACTTCTGGACAGTCCCGCGAGTGCGTGCGCCACCACTGCAGGGGTGACACGCTCAAGTCCTGGATCTGAGGGAACTGCTCAAACCGCGCAAGCTGGCTCTCCACCATGTTCTGGATCTTTGCTTCGTCCGCAGCAACCTCAGCCTCTTCCCGATGCAAAGTGCGCTGCCCAAAGAAGAAGTCCTCACATGAGTCGTGGCTCTTCAGTGTGCGTGCAGGCTGCAAGCCTGCAGGGTACACTGGCTGCGCCTTGTGCTTTGCGTCAGCCTTGCTGTGGCCTCGGCCTCGCCCCCGGCCACGCCCACGTTTTGCTTTTGGCGCAGAAGCTGCCAGCTCTGCCAATGTTGTGTTTGGATGCCCTGCAAGGCGAATCCAATGCTCCCGCAAGGCTGCTGCAGCTTCATGGCTGCGGCAAGCCCACTCTGCCACGCGCTGTCTGGCACGTTGACGGGCTTCTGGCGAAAGGCAAGGGTGATCACGAAATCTGGGGTCAAGAAAGCATGCCATCTCCAAGTAGCCCTCGGCAGTTGTGCCCTCTATGTGCTTTTTGCAGACTTTGCCAATGTCTCTCTGCAAGAACACGATGAGCTTCCGAGCTAACGGCCCCAAGTCTCGCTTGCGCATGCATTTCCCAAGCTGTGCCTGCAGCATCTTCGGGACAGGGATTGTGCGCACACTGTCGCGGAAAGCTTGCTTCAACTGATGCATCAACGGCATGTACAAAGAGCACAGCACTTTCTCTTCGCCTTCAAGGGTGCGCGTGGCCAAGTAAATCGGCTGCATTGCAACTGCCAGCTCTGCCATCTCCTTGGCGTCTTCTTGCGAAATTGTCGGAGGGGGAGACTTCCTCAGCTTCAAAAACAAGGCTAAACAAGCACCCCTGAAGAAACAAAATCGCCAGACCCCCCCCAAGCTCTTGTTCTTGAACACACGTTTATTCAAAAAAACGTGCGGTCAAGGAGCAGCTGTCTTCCATGCACATCCATGTACAAGCTCAAAGCTGGCGCATTGTAGGCAATTCTCATCAGCAGTGCCTGAGTGCTGCTCCAGCGTGTCGCTGTTTCCCGTTGAACACTGGTGAACGGGAGTTCAGCCTTCAGGGCTTGGGCCTCCAGCCGTGCATATTCGTCGGGGTTGTGCACCAGCCACTTCACAAGCCGCCTTGCTTGCACAATGCGAGGTTTCAAAGCATCTTGCATCTGCTGGTGCTCGGGGTCACGCCGGCTAGGCTTCTGATCCCTGGCTGGCACTTCTGAACTTGAGTCCGACGAAGAGCTGGAGCTTGTGGAGCTACTGCTACGCTCACTTGAAGCGCCAAGCTGTCTGGACCGAATTGGCGGCACCGCGTGCTTTATTGCAAGCTGTATGCAGTGGCAACCACATCCCAAACAGTTCAGTTTCATGTCCTTGGCGTTGCAAAGCTTTGGAAATGCAAGAAAACATCAGCACAAAAGCAAACCATGGCCCTGGGCAAACCCCTACTCCTGAAACCACCTGCCAATGTCAGCCAAAAGTCTCTGCCAGCTTTTCGCACTGCACCCTCGTGGTCGGTGACTATAGTAACAACGTCGTCCTTGCTGATGCCGAAATCATCCAAGCCTTTTGCAATGAATTTCTGGTACTGCTCTGCGTTGCGAGGGGCTGGGATTTCCTCAGCCAGGATGCAGGCCGTGAAGCGCTCCCAGGTCACACTGATCCATTGCAGCAGCACGAGGACGTACTCCTGGCGTCGAACAAGCTTTGTGCGCCAGCTGTCAACCAGTATGGAGAATCGGGAGCCTGCCTTTTTGGCCTCCTGTACGGCTGCTTTGACTTCAGAGCTGATGTCTGCTGTTTGGGCATCAACTTCCGCTTGCAGAGCGCTGCGGCCTGCCAAAGTCGGGAACACTTTCTTGGCACTTTCCACAAGCCGTACTGGGCACAAGCCCAGAAGCACCATGTGGGTGCTCCAGTTGTGAAGCACGGTCGCGTCTGGCTGCACTTTGCTTGCTGGCCGCTGCAACAGGTCATCGGGGACAACCTCTTCGTGTTTCGTTTTCAGGTGGTTCACCAGACCCGCCGTGCTGCCAGCCTTGGATTGTATACACCCGAAAAAACACTGCTTGCAGCCCAACCAGCTTCCAGTGCCCGGGCAACGTCGGACAATTCTGGCTGGCCTTCTGGCCAACAGAGCCTGCAGAACCGGTAATCTTCCGTCTGCGGCCTCTTTGGAAAAAAATGTGCAGTTGCCCATGACCGAGAGGTCATGCCGTCGCAGCAAGCCCAATGCTTGCTTTTGCAAAAAAACAGGCCTGCAGCTACGTTGCTCAGAGGGCTCAAAGCCTAAAGACTTTAAGCCGGAATGCGCCAGACAAGGAAGCTGTTGACAGAGCCTTTTTTAACTACCCTGAATGAAGGTCATTTGTCACTTGCCCTGGGGTGTGCCTGTTTTTGAGGAGCCAGCCAAAAATGGTGTGGTTTGATTGCACGAATTTCCCTTTAAAACTAGCCCAGAAAGGGGCCCCTCAAAAAAAGACAGACCCACATCCTAGATGAAATGGTCGCAAACCAACAATCAAAACATGGTACAAAAAACCTGTTCCCACTTTTAGTATAGGTTTTACAAAGGCGGCCGCTTGGAACTATGGCTGGGATCTTCCCTCATTAACCTCCAATTATCCGGGTTTGATTGCGACTCACGTGGGATTCAACACGCAACCATCACAGCTTGAAAAACAATGCAATGAGCAAACGGTCTCCGCCTGTGCTGAATGGAAAACGGAGAGTCCACATCCACGCATTTGGAAATAAGAAGGGACGCACACAGCCACACACACACACAAACAAACAAACAGACAAACTCACAAACAGAAAAACAAACGAACCAAGCCACTGACTGATGCTGAGCATTTTGTTCTTTCTTTCATTCTTTCTTTCTTTTTTATTTCTTGTTGCAGCCTGGCTGCACCAGCAGCGCGAAAAAAACAACTTACTGACTGTCAGTGGGTTGTTTTTTTTTGCGCGGCCCGGCTTGGATTGGAAGAGTTTCTCGCGGGCCGACCGGGAGGAAAACTGAGTTGCCCGCTGTCAGTGTAAGGGATTGCTCTCCCGGCGCCTTGCCGCCTTGCCCCGGGCCTGTCCTGCCGCCCCCTAACGCCCCACCAGCCTGACTGGCAGAGCTTTTGGCACGCTTAGCAGGCCACTGCAGGTGAGGCCCCGTTGCTGCGAGCGTCAAGGCAAGAAACCCGCATTATTGGCCGCTTCTGGTTCTGACTTTTGCTTCCGCAGTGCTCGCAACACACGAAACACCGCTGACACTTGGCAAGAAAAAAAGCGGACCACGAGCAGGCAGCGACTTCTTTTTTTGTTGGGCTGCTCGGCTTTGACCGCAGACCGTGCCAACAGCACCGCCATAGGATCCCGTTCCAAAGCGGCAGCAGGAGGAATTGGACCCTCAAGCTTCTGATACCCTGGCGGATCACGTACATGTCCAAGCAACAATCTATGTCACCAACTCTCCCTGCTCCCGCAGGTGTGCCCGAGCACCGTGTTGCGGCCTGGCCGCGCCAGCAGCGCGAAAAAAAACAACTTACTGACTGTCAGTAAGCTGTTTTTTTTTCGCGCTGCCCGGCTTGGATTGGAAGAGTTTCTCGCGGGCCGACCGGGAGGAAAACTGAGTTGCCCGCTGTCAGTGTAAGGGCTTGCTCTCCCGGCGCCTTGCCGCCTTGCCCCGGGCCTGTCCTGCCGCCCCCTAACGCCCCACCAGCCTGACTGGCAGAGCTTTTGGCACGCTTAGCAGGCCACTGCAGGTGAGGCCCCGTTGCTGCGCGCGTCAAGGCAAGAAACCCGCATTATTGGCCGCTTCTGGTTCTGATTTTTGCTTCCGCAGTGCTCGCAACACACGAAACACCGCTGACATTTGGCAAGAAAAAACGGACCACGAGCAGGCAGTGACTTCTTTTTTTGTTGGGCTGCTCGGCTTTGACCGCAGAGCGTGCCAACAGCACCGCCATAGGATCCCGTTCCAAAGCGGCAGCAAGAGGAATTGCACCCTCAATCTCGTCATAGCCTAGCAGGTGTCCAAGCAACAATCTGTGTCACCAACTCCCCCTGCTCCCGCAGGTGTGCCCGAGCACCGTGTTGCGGCCTGGCCGCGCCAGCAGCGGAAAAAACAACAACTTACTGACTGTCAGTGGGTTGTTTTTTTTTGCGCGGCCCGGCTTGGATTGGAAGAGTTTCTTGCGGGCCGACCGGGAGGAAAACCGAGTTGCCCGCTGTCAGTGTAAGGGATTGCTCTCCCGGCGCCTTGCCGCCTTGCCCCGGGCCTGTCCTGCCGCCCCCTAACGCCCCACCAGCCTGACTGCCAGAGCTTTTGGCACGCTTAGCAGGCCACTGCAGCTGAGACCCCGTTGCTGCGCAACGTCAAGGCAACAAACCCGCATTATTGGCCGCTTCTGGTTCATGATTTTTGCTTCCGCAGTGCTCGCAACACACGAAACACCGCTGACACTTGGCAAGGAAAAAAAGCGGCCCACGAGCAGTCAGTGACTTGTTTTTTTTTTGGCTGCTCGGCTTTGACCGCAGACAGCATCGCCAACAGCACCGCCATGGGATCCCGTTCCAAAGCGGTAGCAGGAGGAATTGAACCAATAGGTGCATGTCCAAGCGACAACCTGTGTCACCAACTCCCCCTGCTCCCGCACCAGCAGCGCGAAAAAAAAACTTACTGACTGTAACAAGAAATAAAAGAAGAAAGAAAGAAAGAAAGAAAGAAAGAAAGAAAGAAAGAAAGAAAGAAAGAAAGAAAGAAAGAAGGAAGGAAGGAAGGAAGGAAGGAAGGAAAGAAAGACAGAAAGACAGAAAGACACACACACAAACACACAGACGCACACAGACTCACACACAGACAGACACACACACAGACACACAGACACACGCACGCACGCCCACGTGGAGATTCCAAGGATGTCCGTGCAAATGTCATCATGAGAGCACCTTCCAGCCACTCAAGCAGCTTCTCTTTTAATCTCAGGCTTCAAGGCGCCTCAACAAAGCAAAATCCTTGGGTGAGATAGTGATACGATTTGCGTGAAATGCCGCCGCAGCCGCCCGGCTAAAGTGGTCGGTCAAAAACCACTCTGTGGCAAACTGAAGCAGAAGCACAGCATCTGTGGAAAACTTCAGCTCCTCATCAGGAGCCAACTTCTGCACAAGCTCCTTGATGAGGCGAAGCCAAGACAAATGGGGAATCAAGTACTCTGGCGCTTGTGCAGACTGCAAGCGCGCAATCTCCCTCATCACACCGGGTCTGCCGCTGCCCCAGCGCCCTCTCGGGGCATGACGTTGGGGCGCTGATTTCGGGTTGGGCTGCGGCGCCTGGGTCCGATGCTTTGGATTGACTGGGCGCTTGCCAGTCTTCTTTCCTCTCGTTTGACTTGTCTTGTTCAAGAGCGACTGCAACGTGGCCGACTTCATGACCGAAGGAGAAGGGGCAGCTACTCTCATATCCAGCTCCTCGTCAGCCTTGTCAATCATGGCATCCAGCTCCTCGGCCGTTTTTTCTGGAAAGGGGTTCAGCTGGCAGTGCGAGCCACTACTGCATTCTGGAGCATTGACAAAAGGCTGCACGTAGCGTCCACCTTCGTTGCCAACCAGTGTGACAAAGCCAGCCTGATCGCCAAGCGCAGCGCGCACCCGCAGCATGCCAGCATGCTGCTGGTGATCTCCAAGTTGTGTGAGGACTTGGCCGGGCTGCAAAAGCGCCACGTCTGCTGAAAATGGGTCTGCCTCTGCAGTCAAGATGCACCGCTTCACAACGCACAGCCGGGCCTCAAAAAGCCTCATCCACGTGGCCTTGTCCATGGTTTCTGAAGCAGGTGACAAGAGGTCCCAAAGCTTGTCAACATTCTGCGCCTTGTCGTTGACGAAGGTGCAGAATGTGTCCTTCTGCAGCTGCGTCGGGTCCTCCTTGTCTGAAAGCTTGTCAAAGAGGCTTGCCAAAGCTTGCTGGTCGTGCTGACCTTGCGCCAGGTGATTTTAAAACACTGGGGCCTGCTTGGAAACTAAAGCGGGGATTCAAGTGGCCCCAGACAAAACTCTCCAAGTTGGACTGCAAAAAACAGAAAGAAGGCCAGAAGACAGAAGCAAGTGGCAAAAGGCGCGGATCCTCTCCATCAGCTCATCCAATTCCCTGTCGAAGCGGGATCGGGCAACCAAAAGCAGCGAGCAGCCTTCGCGTTCCAGCTTCTCCTTGCTGGTGCGCCGGACAATGTCTCTCAGTGGCTCTGCGCCAAATGCCAGCTCATCCCCTGCCGTGAACTCTACATCAACGGCCTGCAGCGCATTGGACTCAATGTACGATCTCACACACGCAGCATCCGCCAGCAGAGTTGCAGGAAGTTCACGCGACTCTGCACTGCCATTGCGGCCCACCACAAGAAGCTGCACAAATCTCATGGCTTGGCAGGAAAACGTTGCTTCCGGGGAGCAACAAATACAAACAAGCTGCGCAATCCTGTGGGGCAGCCACTGGCTGTCGTCTCAATGGCGTAGCCCGAAAAAAAGCCAAACCCCAAGATAATGCAAAATAATGACCCTTTTCCTGGTAGTCTTCCAAACTGACGAAACCCCGACGTCCCAATCCGCCGCCGCCGCCGACAGCTTCTGCATTAACCGTGCAAACCGGCAGGTTTTGGAAGGTTATGAGTAACCGCCACTAACCGGAGAAGGTTTTCAAAAGGTTTCAGAAACCGAACCGAACCGAACCTAACCGTGGCCACCCTGATATGTGGTCGCAAATGTAGATCATGGGGGGGTGAGCATATATATGTATATATGTTCTGCAAGCATTTGTATATGTATATAGGTAATCTCTACATAGTGTTGTCACAAGTGTTGTCCTTGTGAACATTGTATACACTGGGCTCAAAGAACACATCTGGATAACCAATTTTCTTTGGGAGGTTTCCCTTCAACGGGAGCAAAGGAGTCCCTTTGGTTTTCTGTTTCTTAAGATCAAGGGCCCTTTCTTCTTGGCAGGGTCAATTGTGCACGGGTGCTGTTGTTGTCTCCTAGCAGTCAAAGGAATACTCGCTTTGTCGTAGGGACCGTCAAACCCGTATCAAATCAGGCATTGGCCGGCCAAGCCAAACATAAGCTTTTGCCTACCTGGGCTGACTTGGTCGATTCCCACAAGAACCCAGTCCCATCTCACAACTGAACAGTCTCCTTGTACTCTTAACGCCTCCTCCTTTAGGACGATTCCACTGGTGTAGCCCCAAAATTCACCCCCTGCGCATCCAACATCCACAACGTCTAAGTCCGGGTAAGCTTTCCGCCAAAAAAAACGATCGATCCGCGCCTGGATCTTGGGGACGGTCTTCACCTGGCGCAGGCTACATGTCGATGTGCGGAAAGCTCGACTGAGAGCGTTTTGACAGCTGGCTCCGCACATGCTTTAGACCATCAACTACTCTCGGCCCTTGGAAAGTAAAGGAAAGAAGGGTCCACCAAGGCCGGGCATGACCAAGGAAGAGTTTTCATGTTCCCTGGAGTGGATGGGGGTACACTTCACATGGCAGACTCTGAGCAGGGATGGGGAGCTGGGTTTGAAAAGTTCATGTTGACTTCGGGCAGGCAGCCACTACTAGACAAGGGCAACAACTCAGAGGTGTAAACGAGTCGCACAATGTGTTGATCGATAGGGGCACATGCAGCAGTCAATTAGATCACTGACCTCCGGATGATCAACGAGCAAACTCTCGCTTTTGCGTTGGTCGACTTCACTATTTCCCCAAATGCTTAATACTAAGTTGACCCCTGATTAATACACCCCCTTAGAAGAACGGATTCCCTGCCAAAAAGGGACCCGCCCTAAAAAGGCCCGTGACCAACAAAAAGTCCAAAGATCCAACCCACTAGCCTCAAGTAATTAGTAATCAACCAGTTGAATGTGTCCCCCTTGATTGAAATCGGGGGCCAAGGGAACCCACGGCAAATGCATCTTAACCCCAGATTACTGAGTCTCTGGTTTGCTTCTTGATTCGGGGGAGTGCCTCTTTAGTGGCAATCCTCACTTTTGTAGGTGAACCTCAGTATTAGGACTCCTGGGGAACCATGAGTGGGCAAAAGCACGCCAAGATCCCATGTTCAGAATGACTCAAGCTGGATCCGATCAATGCGATCTGATCGGGTGGCCGGGTGTGCCTCCCTAGGTGTTGCGGAAAACAGAAAATGGCGCGGGCGAATTGGGGGGACGCCTCGGGTTCTAAAATTGAGGTGGAAAAGGACGCATTTTGACTGGATGTCCATTGAAAACCCTGAGACCAGCTGAGTCCATCGAACTTTCCCGCAAACTTCCGGCCCGGCAGACACACCATATCCTTCTCTGACACTAAAAATGGATAAACAAAAACAAACAGAAACAAAACCCAGCGCATCTTAATCGCGGAAGCCCGATGACAAAAAGTGGAATCCCTGTAAATGAGCGAAGCCTCCCATGTGAGACACTTTTAAAGGGATCATTCAAATCATCAACTTTGGGTGATCCCAACTCAGTTCTAACTTGGCTCTAACGAATGGGTTCTGTTCTGTCCATCAGTACAAGCGATCGGAACCGAACCAGCCAAACGGGGCCCTGACAACTGGGGTGTGCCCTTTGTAAATACCCATTTCGGGGTTGTCTGAAAGGGATCCAAAGAGCTGATTGTTTTCTCCATGTTCTTAGTTTTTTGTTTTTTTGAGATCAATTTCAACTGGTCACTGGACTGAGCTGTCCTCAGATCCCCCGCTGAAAGTCGAGAACTTTTAGTGGGCGAAATGGAAAACCCACCACTAAACACTAAAAACATCTAAAGATCTAAAAGGCTAAGAGGGCTAAGGAACCGGATGGCTGGGGCCACCAAGTGGAGTGAGAGGTCCTCCGGCACTGCGTCAAACCGAGTGCCGAGGGCCCTGGCAACTTCCTGGATCTCGATCTTGGGAATGGTCCGCACCTCGGCCGTGTAATCAGTGAGCCAGTGACCTCCAAAGGAGAAGGGAACCCAAACCCGTGGTGCTGAAAACCCGCGCAGAAAAATGGAATCCAAACCTTTGGTAGATACCATATCGTTTCAAGATGTCGATTCTGACCTTTTGGTCCAGGGACTCATTTTGGCTGGTTGAACTATTGGTCACATCTTCGGGCCAGAAAACCACAACAAAATTTAGAGGGCGCCACTGCGCTGGGACTGTCCGCAGATTCTGCAACCCACATCCCCGCCCATGAGAGGACCGGGTTATGAACATTTCCCCTGCCGTACTGGAAGGTGTTTTTTGTTTTTATGGGCTTCGTTTTCCGTCTGGGTTCCGTCCAAAAAATGGGTATACCCGTTTGACAGTGGGACTAGCAGTATAGCGAAGCCAAGTTTTTTGTCGTTTTTCGTTCTTCCTGTTTTTCTTCTTTTGCTTGAGGGGGGAGAGGTTCTGTGTTAAGACACACCCAACTGGAACCACTGGATATAGGTTTGGGCACTACAGGCTTCTTCAAAATGAGGATCCCTTAATTAATCCTAAATCAAAAGCAACACCATATCAGCGTTGTTCTAAATCATCGTGCAGGCCAGAGACACTAACACAATTCTCTCATGAAGGCCTACGCGAGGCTTCCGCGGCTGCGAGGGTAGCTTGCTCGAGTGGTCTACATTGCAAAAGACACTACGCGGCGCTCGCGTAGATTGAGTGTTTTGTGGAAATTAGTTTTCGCGTGTTTTTGCTTACGCGAACACGGCGAAACCGCAACAGCCGAGCTTTTCAACCTGTAGAAGACAAAAGCGCCACAATCCGCGCAAACGATGCATGGAAACATGGGTGAGACCCCGCTTGTTTGCAGATTGGACTTTGCCACTGTTCTGCCCCATGTTTGCCACACTGACAAGTGACCATGCCACACCCTGTGTCTGAGCCCTTGCTACGGCAATGGAAACGCAACAACTTCGTATAGGGCATGCAAGGGGGCTACGCGAACCTTTCGCGACTGGGCAAGTGATAAAGCGACCCAGGCAAAAGCAACATGTTCAAAACCATATTTCCTCTCGAATATGACACGCCGGTTGTTGTAAAAGACATTTCAAGAGTCGGGTTTCTACATTTTAAGACAAACCAATATGGGTGTTTCTCAAAATGGCGGACCCCTTTTGGCTGTTCTTTGAAGCGAAACCAACCGGCAACCACCGAAAACCTTCCATCTGGGGACCGAAGCTGGCGTTTATCAGTCAGTGAGCCGTCCCCCCCAAAAAAAAAACATCGCCGGGCCGCGATTTCCTGGGTGTGCACTTCCGGCACTTCCACGATCTTCTCCACGTATCGAACCTGTCCGGCTCGCCGGGGCTTGCTCCCCAACTGGAAATCGGAAGGACCCCCCAACGCCTTGAAGCAAACCTAGATGCGTGGTTCGACAGGCAACCACCAAAACAAGCGCAAGGGGATTTCAATCAAACCGAGCATCAAACAAAATTTCGAACATCATGCTTGGAATTCTATGAAGGGAACCCACACCTCTATAGGCCCTCTGTAAATCTCGTGTTGGCAGGTACAGCTTTTATACAATTGTGGCTTGCGATGCAAACATGTTGCCTGAAATCCGGTGAAATCTGTGGCGTTGGCTCGTCCTGAAGAATGAGCCCATGCCCTTAGCGAAGCGAAACTAGAGATGTCCTCGAAAATATCGTCGTCAGCCCAGAAAAGACCAGAAACAGCCAAAACCAAGCCAAGCCCCAAGGGGGAGTTGTAAAAGTCTTGGCTCCCTTAGGCCCTCGGAAGGTTTCAGCTGGACGCATTTCCAGAGGTTCGACCAATCTTTCAAGTGACCACTACAATTAAAGAGAAACCTCAAACAGGAACCCTACACTAAAGCAACCCTGAGTTCAATAATCCTCGTTGATCCACAGGCGGATGCAATCCTTAGGGGAATCGCAATCACTCTTTTGCCTCGCAACCCGGCGTCGACATTACTTCCATTTGCTTAAGCCCCCTGGAAAAAATAAACATATTTCCAGTGGTGATCGATTCCTTTTAAAGCCAACAGGAGAAAAACAACTTAAACAAATGGAAGTTACCAGGCACTCCCTTGAAGATGAAGTTGAAAAGCGAACAGTTTGTCACTTTGACAAAGAATTCTCTAAAGCGGAACATAACCCTTTCTGTGCGGCCGCTTGATGTGGATCTGAGAGGCCTTGTACACCTTGTGCGGGCTACAAATCGGGGAATTGCCAACGTGGCCGGGCGTTCCTCTTCCAAGGCAACCCTCGTGGAGCCTCAGGCACCTCCACCACCCGCTCGGTGACCTGGACAGGCAAAAAATGGAAAAGGAGCCATGGCTTTCTTGGGGTGGGTGGCCTCCTTGGGGCGTTCGAAAGTTGAAACCACGGTCTTTGGATTGGTTCCCCTTTCTTCTGTTCCCGGGTGGAAAAGGGATCAGAGGGCGACAAGTTTCGTGGTGTTGTTATTCGGTGGCCATTTCACGGAGGCTTTGCGGCCAAACTTTGGGGTGAAAGCCTTCGGCTCGCCATTTTTCGACGCGCCCGGCTTTCTGAGAAATGGGCTGGTGTCGCCCTCTGAAACCCAAAGCTGGTAAGTGCAGGCAGGTCCAAACAACCAAGCTTGAAGCAAGGGACACCTTCCGAGGTCGCACACCAAAATCTGTGTGAGGTCACAACTCAAATTGGTCCAGATTGTTCCATGACGTCTCCTACCAAAGTATGAGAGGCTGAATGATCGGTTCCCTTGAAAACGATTTGGATAGAACTTGCTTCAGCATGTGGAGAGGTAGCAGGAACAACCCTTGCCCGTGGTCGCAGGCTCAATGTTGCCTCCATATTGGCTCAATGTTGCCTCCATACGCAAGATATATGTACACATATATAGATATATTCTCTATATATATATATATACATGGACATGAAGCACTGGTACGCAGCAGGTTGCTTCTTTCCAAACAGATTCACCACTAGGTGTGGTTTCAGTATGGAAACCACGCCTCCAAGGAAGCATCAAATGGCCAGGGGTTCATATACATATGTATATATATATATACACGTCCATGCACATCTGGCATCTCAAGCTGGGCCAGTCTTCTGTCAGCCTGATTGAGGAAGGAACCCCAAAAGCAATGCTATCGCAAGCCTCCCCCCTTACCTTCAGGGGGAAGGGGTGGGGGTCCTCCAATTCCATGTTTGCCCCAAAAAAAGAACACGCAACAGAACAATAAACGGAGAAATCCATCCTCCTCACTTCCAGGGAAGCCAAGTCTGGAGGCACACGCTATAATAAGAAAGAAAATGCACCACTGGAGGTCTGGGGTCTCTCAGAGCCTGCTTCACAATTCACTTGTGAATTCTCATTCGCGAACCTGAAAGCAGAAACGGCCCAACAAAAACTGGCTGCCAAAAAAGGGGCGAAACCTGAACCCATCCCTGTTTCATTGGCTGTGGGTCAAAACCCTGTACCCCTGGTGAACGTCAAAATAGGTTGCAAATGGATGTTCATCCACACCAAAATGGAGCCATAGGTTATGCACCAAGGTTGGGGTCATACGCAAGTTGGCTCATGTCGGTCGGCGAAAGCCATAGAGCGCGCCAGATCCGATTTTGACAGGTGCGACCGCCGGGTCAACTTGCTGATGAGGGGATGCGTAAATCAGCCCCCAACAGGTTGTGTCCAAGGAAAACTCTTTCACTGTCCCGCATGTCTGGCAAAGAAAAGCTCATTTTGTTTTGCATATTCGATTTTTTTTCTGGGCGCACAATCAAACTTATGTTTCATATTTGGTCTACCCTAAAATATAACATAGGAGACCCCATATCTGAAACCATGGTTTTTGAGGGCCTGTTTGATGTTTGTTCTTCCACACGTAAACCATATTTAGTGGTTGACAAACCAAAAAACTAGGGTTCGTATCAGGCCAATCATTCAGGTTGAAAGGCATTCGGCGGGGAATGGAGCTGGACGCATGTCTTGCAGGGAGCCGGCAAATAACATGGAAAGATCAACTATCCTACTGAGCCTTGGAATTTTCAAGTGCAGTATAGGATGGGGCCAGCCCCCTGCCCTGAAACATGTTTAAGCCACATGTGCGATTAGCCTCCTTGCAGTTTCCTTTTAAAGGGTGTAAGGGCCTTGTTTAAGCACATGTTGGAGAACTGTGGATATGCATGTAGTGATGAAACAAACGCGGCAGATGACTCAAGAAAAGCACAGTGGTCGCCTAGTAAGGGGTGGAAAAGACATTCAGCTGCAAGCTGCGAAACCTACGACCCCACTGTGGTGCGATTGCGACGTCCTGAAACAGATCATGTCACCAGGGGCTTGATTTCCTCAGTGGACATGTTCGTAGTTGGCTTCTGCTTTCCCAACGTCGTTGCGCGCCTGATATTCAATCTTGGGCACCTCCTTGATGATCTCATGAACCTGCCGAGTTCGACCGGGAGACCGCAAAATGTCAGCTATTTAGGCCCCTTCGAATGCTAGCCAAACTTGGCCAGGAGAACTCAGAATGACCGTGTTTGATCGAAAGATATACGCTCACACCTCCTCCCATGACCCATGATCACAAGTGCTCAGGAATCATTGCCTATGCAAGCCCGAAACGCCGGGGTGCCCTGCCTGGAAAGGGATAGGCAACGTGACTTGACAGGCAAGGGCTAAGTTAAACACTCGTTTGGCCCCTTTTCCAGGCTGTTGACTGTTGGCCTGCGGCTTGCTATGGCCCGCGGCCAAAAGCAAGCGGCCAGCTTGGCATTGTTTGTTGGCATTTACAAGGGAGTCATCATTCCAGGATTTATCAGGTGGTGCAGGATTCCGTCCATCCACAGTAGGAACCACTTTTGAATACCTTTTCACAAAAGCCTGCCCCTAATTTAGAACCCTTTTCACAAGAGAGACAGAGAGAGAGAGAGAAAGAAAGAAAGAAAGTTTGCGTAGACACGCACGCAGGCAGCATTGGCCTCTTTCTAGTATCAACCAGTGAACCAAAGTTTGCGTAGACACGCACGCAGGCAGCATTGGCCTCTTTCTAGTATCAACCAGTGAACCAAAGTTTGCGTAGACACGCACGCAGGCAGCATTGGCCTCTTTCTAGTATCAACCAGTGAACCAAAGTTTGCGTAGACACGCACGCAGGCAGCATTGGCCTCTTTCTAGTATCAACCAGTGAACCAAAGTTTGCGTAGACACGCAGGCAGCATTGGCCTCTTTCTAGTATCAACCAGTGAACCAAAGTTTGCGTAGACACGCACGCAGGCAGCATTGGCCTCTTTCTAGTATCAACCAGTGAACCAAAGTTTGCGTAGACACGCACGCAGGCAGCATTGGCCTCTTTCTAGTATCAACGCACGCAGGCAGCATTGGCCTCTTTCTAGTATCAACCAGTGAACCAAAGTTTGCGTAGACACGCACGCAGGCAGCATTGGCCTCTTTCTAGTATCAACCAGTGAACCAAAGTTTGCGTAGACACGCACGCAGGCAGCATTGGCCTCTTTCTAGTATCAACCAGTGAACCAAAGTTTGCGTAGACACGCACGCAGGCAGCATTGGCCTCTTTCTAGTATCAACCAGTGAACCAAAGTTTGCGTAGACACGCACGCAGGCAGCATTGGCCTCTTTCTAGTATCAACCAGCATTGGAACCAAAGTTTGCGTAGACACGCACGCAGGCAGCATTGGCCTCTTTCTAGTATCAACCAGTGAACCAAAGTTTGCGTAGACACGCACGCAGGCAGCATTGGCCTCTTTCTAGTATCAACCAGTGAACCAAAGTTTGCGTAGACACGCACGCAGGCAGCATTGGCCTCTTTCTAGTATCAACCAGTGAACCAAAGTTTGCGTAGACACGCACGCAGGCAGCATTGGCCTCTTTCTAGTATCAACCAGTGAACCAAAGTTGCGTAGACACGCACGCATGCAGCATTACCCTTTCAAGTATCAACCAGTGAACCAAAGTTTGCGAGAAACGCACGCAGGCAGCATTTGCCTCTTTTAGTCAACCAGTGAACCAAAGTTTGCGAAACACGCACGCAGGCAGCATTGGCTAGTGAACCAAAGTTTGCGTAACACGCACGCAGGCAGCATTGGCCTCTTTCTAGTATCAACCAGTGAACCAAAGTTTGCGTAGACACGCACGCAGCAGCATTTGCCTCTTTCTAGTATCAACCAGTGAACCAAAGTTTGTGTAGACACGCACGCAGGCAGCATTGGCCTCTTTCTAGTATCAACCAGTGAACCAAAGTTTGCGTAGACACGCAGGCAGGCAGCATTGGCCTCTTTCTAGTATCAACCAGTGAACCAAAGTTTGCGTAGACATGCAGGCAGGCAGCATTGGCCTCTTTTTAGTATCAACCAGTGAACCAAAGTTTCGTAGACACGCACGCAGGCAGCATTGGCCTCTTTCTAGTATCAACCAGTGAGCCAAAGTTTGCGTAGACAGCACGCAGGCAGCATTGGCCTCTTTCTAGTTTGAACCAGTGAACCAAAGTTTGCGAGACACGCAGGCAGGCAGCATTGGCCTCTTTCTAGTATCAACCAGTGACCAAAGTTTGCGTAGACGCGCACGCAGGCAGCATTGGCCTCTTTTTCATATCAACCAGTGAACTAAAGTTTCATGTGAGACACGCACGCAGGCAGCATTGGCCTCTTTCTAGTATCAACCAGTGAACCAGAGTTTGCGTAGACACGCACGCAGGCAGCATTGGCCTCTTTCTAGTATCAACCAGTGAACCAAAGTTTGCGTGGACACGCACGCAGGCAGCATTGGCCTCTTTCTAGTATCAACCAGTGAACCAAAGTTTGCGTAGACACGCACGCAGGCAGCATTGGCCTCTTTCTAGTATCAACCAGTGAACCAAAGTTTGCGTAGACACGCACGCAGGCAGCATTGGCATCTTTCTAGTATCAACCAGTGAACCAAAGTTTGCGTAGACACGCACGCAGGCAGCATTGGCCTCTTTCTAGTATCAACCAGTGAACCAAAGTTTGCGTAGACACGCACGCAGCAGCATTTGCCTCTTTCTAGTATCAACCAGTGAACCAAAGTTTGTGTAGACACGCACGCAGGCAGCATTGGCCTCTTTCTAGTATCAACCAGTGAACCAAAGTTTGCGTAGACACGCAGGCAGGCAGCATTGGCCTCTTTCTAGTATCAACCAGTGAACCAAAGTTTGCGTAGACATGCAGGCAGGCAGCATTGGCCTCTTTTTAGTATCAACCAGTGAACCAAAGTTGCGTAGACACGCACGCAGGCAGCATTGGCCTCTTTCTAGTATCAACCAGTGAACCAAAGTTTGCGTAGACACGCAGGCAGGCAGCATTGGCCTCTTTCTAGTATCAACCAGTGAACCAAAGTTTGCGTAGACACGCACGCAGGCAGCATTGGCCTCTTTCTAGTATCAACCAGTGAACCAAAGTTTGCGTAGACACGCAGGCAGGCAGCATTGGCCTCTTTCTAGTATCAACCAGGACCAGTGAACCAAAGTTTGCGTAGACACGCAGGCAGCCCTTCCTTTGGCCACGGCAACCAAACCGCAGGGAAAGGTGGATCTGTGTTCGTTAGGGGCATCTCTTTCTGGGATCGCAAGGGAAGCCAGAGGAAAGCCGCCATTTTCGGGGTCCGATTTCGACACATAGATGGAACTAGTATACCCTCCCGCGGAAGCCAAACGCCAACTAGGAACCTCCTTGCAGGTTCCGGAGATCGACATCCGGGAAAATACCCAGGGATGGTTCTGCTGAGAGCGTTTGGGTTGGGATCCAATAAAGCCTTGGAAGTTGCATGCACCTACAAAGATCTCCAGAGGTCGACCCAATCAGTTGTTTTCTCTAGGGGTGCTTGTGCATACCTCTTTTCCCTACCGGCTTGCTGTTCGAATCCCTCTCCAAAGGATTGTTCTACAAGCGGCAAGCAAACGAAAAACCAACCAGCGGGGGGTACTGCGTAAATCACAAGTCACCACTTCACAAGTCTACTCCCCCCAGGGCCCTCGTAGCTCGCCGGCCCCTCGTGAGTCTCAGCCAGACGGTTGCCTCAACTTTGGGCACCGCCCGCACCACCTCCTGGGTGCAGATGGTGGGCACCTGAGGCTGGAGTTCCCGGAGGCCAGTCATCAAAACCGGTGGGAAATAAAATCCAGCACGGAACCGTGGGACGTGGAACCCACTTCTGTGATACGATGCCCATGTCTCCCAGAAGCGGTTGGATAAAGCCCGGGTGATCCCACCACCCTGGTCCATATGTCCAATTGCAAGAGGCGGAGACCTGAACCCATTTCTGGGGGCTGCCCAGCCTTCGACCCGGGTTTTGAGTGTGCTGCAAGCGGTTTCCTGGGCAACCAAAACCATTTTTTCTTTCTCCTGGCTGAAGGTCAAGTCATTGATGTTGACCCCGGATTCATAAACCCCTGTGCCCAATGTGGGGTGTTTCCCCACTAAAACCAGGGACACCCCCCCCATAATTACAGGGGTTTACTAATTCGGGGTCAACATCAGATTGCCGTCCAAGTACCGTTTCGGGTGGAATCCAAGAACCTTCCAACAACGATACTAAGATTCATCCAAAATGGAACATCTAAGATACATGCAAGCCAGACATACACGAATCATCCGAAAGGCAAACGCCCCATTTCCGGATTTGGGGGGAAAAAAACATTGCTTCTGTGGAATTCATGCATAGGTGTTGTTTTCCCTTTTGGCTCCCATTTTTACCGCCCCCCGGGTTTCCGTCCGGCTTTGGGAACGGCGCCGTTCGCCATTCGATCGGAAGCCCTGGGAGTTCGGATCGCCTCAATGAGCTTCTCCTTGAACATGGTCTGCGGCACTTCGATCAAGAGCTCCTTTTCGGTTTTCGGTTTTCGGGGGCTTCAAAGGCTTCGAAGGCTTCGGGAGATAAAAAAAAGAAGCTCCGAACATCCAGAGGTGTCCTTTTAGGTTGGAGATAGATGGATTTCCCGGGTAGATGATTCAACCACCAGGTAAACCAGGGATCGCCATCTATTGTTCGACCAGAACAACCAAAAAGGACACCCTATGTTTAAAACGCCGAACCCCTCGGCATCAAAGGCGGGGGTTCATGTCCAAGCAGGTGCAAGGATATTCCTTATCAACAAAACGCATAGCCAAATGCGTGGTTCCCTAGCTAACCCCCCGCACATGGAAAAGGGTACACACGCAGGGGTGCTCCCATTCGACCTCAGGCCCCTGGAAACAGAAGTAAGACAACCCACATGGCTATGAATCCCCCCCTGGATACTTGTCTAAACCCTCAAAAAAAACGGGTTGACCATCCCTTCACACCCTTACACCCCAATAGGGTATGCAAGGCCATTATGTGGAGCTAGCTTGAGGCGTGGTCGTCTTTTCGCAGCTCGAAGCAACCTGCTGAGCAAACGGAATTGATATTGATCTCCCCCGGCCAAATCGCCAGCCTGCCCCCCCCCAACCAAAAAAACGCAATCAAACAAAACAACAGAACACAAATAAAACAACACAAATCACAGCCCCGCCCCAAAAAACACAAAAACACAAACAAACACTAGAGCAGCAACCCGCACGTCCTGCTCTCTGGAAATGGACCTTGGCCCGCGCGAGCGCGCGCGCTTGCACGCTGAAGCGCCCAGGCTACTCGGACCCGGGGGCAATCGCAGAGGCCAAGTCCGGTTTCAACATCTGCAAACCTTAGAATTCCAACACCTGAACGGACCTGAACGGACCTGAAGCAAGAGGTCCCCAAGTACTGGACATCATACTGAGCTTGTTTTTGCCAGATCTCCCCATAAAATTAGGAACAAGCACCTATAGGGTGTGAACAACCTCCTTCTCGGAGCCACATAGACTTGCTGCCTTTTACTTCCCAAAGTGGGTGGGCGAACACAAGCCCAAACTTTCTGTTCGCCAGTCGAATGGTCTTCCCAACAAGCACAAAGTCTAGAAACTCAGAGCGCAACTACATCAGAATCGGGATGTTTTGCAACTTGCTCCATAGCCTTGTTCATTCAGTCGACCCTTTGACCCCTGCCAGCTTGAGTTGCCACAGCGAGAATGACACATTGGCCGGTGACAAGGTGACCTAGATTGGTTGGTTGATTTCAAGGAAACTCACAAACAAGGCTTTGTCTCGAAACGGGGAAGCCTCCAAAATGCCAAAACCATCCACCAAGGGTACCCTCCAAAGGACACCCACACACATTGTGACTTTTGGCGAGTTGTTGGTTCAACAATCATGGAACCCAGGCTGTCAAATACCCTTTTCTCCTTGAAGTGGTTGGTCCTTTTGAAGATGGTCGTCAACCCTCTCCAGTTCCATACCCCGTGCCGTGGTTTCAACTCATTTGTGAGGGACCGATCCGGCCCCAAGTTGGCATCGCACAAAGAACCAACAAAACCACGCCATGGCCTGCGCGTCGACTCGTTCGACTCGACTCAACGAGCCACGATCCGGGCTCCGGGCCCAAAGGTGGAGCTGGGTGTGTGCAGCTGAGTAGTTTGACCTAGCGGAAGGTCTTGAGTTGTGGAGTCCTTAACCGGGGGGGGTCCAAGGTCCAAGGAGGGGGGGGGGGAAATTCCCTAAGACTCCCTAACAAAAAACAAAATCTAAGGAAATGTAGGGAACCCTAACGAACCCTAGGGCTGTCAGCAACCCACCCCCCCTTACAATTTCTATGAAATTAGAATGAGGCTCCGGGGTGCTTTAAAACCAACTCAAGACATGATCAGAGAACGATGTCTGTATTCATTCAGCTTCTTACAGCCAAAGCATCCATTGGTTAAAGAAAAACCTTTGAGTTCCCCTGTAAAGGGAACCAGGATCCTGTTCAAAACGATTTCGCCCAACTCTGAGAGGTTCTGAAGCAACCTTTCCAAGGTTCGCATCAAATCTGGTCCATGGGGGCCATTGAAGTTGTACCTCTTGCTGAAAATGTTGGGTCTTGCGTTGGTTTCGGGTTGGTTTAAGGTCAGCGTACGGCTGGTTTGAGGTGTTTTAGGATTGGTTTACGGCAGGATGTAGGTCTTGTTTGGGGTTGGTTTAGGGTTGGCTTGGGGTGTTTTTGGCTGGTTTTTGGGTTTGGGTTGGTTTGGCTTGGTTTGGGTTGGTTTGGGTTGGTTTGGGTTGGTTTGAGGTCCGTTCAGGCCTGGTTCAGGTTTTGTTTAGGTTTGGCTCAGGGTTTGTTTAGGGCTGGTTTGGGTGGGTTTAGGGTGGGTTTAGGATTGCTTTCGGGTTGGTTTAGATAGGGTTCGGGTTATTTAGGGTCGATTTCTGTTTGTTTCAGGGGGGGGGTTCGGTGAGGTTAGGCTTGCTTTAGGGTTGGCTTAAGGTTGGTCTAGGGTGAATTGGGCTGGTTGAAGGTTGGTTTAAATTTGGTTTAGTCAGTTCCGAGTTGGCTGAGAGTTAATTCACGAATTTACGGTGGGTTTGCGGTGGGGTTGGAGTGGGCGGGTTTTAGGTTTGTTTCGAGCGGGTTTCGATTGGTTTACAGTGGTTGTGGGAAGGCTGGGGTTAGGCTTGCTTTAACCAACCCTAAACCGCCCCAAGCCAACCCTAAAACAAGACTAAACGCACCCAAGACTAAACCCACCCGGTTGAGGTGAAAAATGATTCCCTGCAAAAATAGCTCACCGGGCATTGAGCGGAGTTCATTTGTCCAATGTGAGAAAACAACTGTGCTTGACATCCCGCTTGGACGGTTTGACACTTGACACACATCCCTGCCCAAACCGCACTGCTTCGCCTGGCAGTGACCCTGCAAGTGCGTCCTGAGGCTTTCCGCGACGGCTTTGACCCACCTTTAGGTTGCGCCCAAGGTAGAAAAACACGGTCCCCGCTCAGAACCATCTCTGTATGGAGCCTTACGACCTATCCGACATCGTGTTTGCACGGCAGTACTGCATAGACAGTCGCTCCTGTTGCCTGAATGCATCGGACTGCGTCCCACTGGAATCAGTTGCTGTCTGAACGAGCAAACAAATACTTGTTGCTGATTAATGGATAAACTAAACTCCAGTTTCCAACAACTCTGAGGGACGATTTACTTCGACCAACACCAACCAATGTTTCCCCAAGGTGCCCAAAGGGATCTCAGGAACCATCTTATTCGATCCAAGGACCAGCCAGTTCTGCCAGACATGTTCTCACAGCGTCCCACATTCAAAAAAAAAGGCGATGACGTCCTCGATGGCCTTCCGATGCGTGCAGGCCTGGCTTCTGGAGAAGCCCGCTGCGTGGGTGGGCGAGGACGCTCCCAACCTTGCAGCCGCTCTGATGGCGCAGCGGCCTCCCGGCGACGTGCTACGCAAGCGCCCTCGCAAGGATGCGCTGCTTGAGGCCGAGCGCTCGCACCAGCGGCGTCGCATCGAGATCCTCGAGGAGACTCCTCCATTGGCAGCTGAAGTCGGCGGCCTCACTTCTCGAGTGAATTGGACAACAAAAAAGACCAGACTTGTTCCTTACTTCTATAATAATAATCATAACAATAATGATATGTGTGTGTTTCTTTAACGGTCAGGTGACATCCCCAGCAGCAACCCCCCGAACCCAAGCCCGGAGAGGGCAAAGATCCCGAAGGGTTCAGCTAAAGATCGGAACTGAGACACTTTGAGGCTTCACTTCCTTCTGCAGCTTGCACCAAAACCAATACCTGAAGAACAAACTCTATGGCGAGTGTGCCTTGTGCCCACGAGCATTTTGAGCAAGGCAGAGCTTCAAGCCAACTTCTCTTGAGTGGCACACTCGACGAACCGACCAGTCGCTTGACGTCCTGCGCTGAGGCATTCCAGCTCTGCAGAATGTCCGCTTGGTACCTGGGCCGTTCCAAAGGTACGAGTATTCTGGGGAGTGACTTTGAGTGGTTGAGAGATGTGTTTGGGCGCCCTTGTAACATGCTGAAACCCGGGTTCAGGTGCAGCATTTGGGTTTCCTTCAAGGATCAGGGATTCAAGGGTCTTCCCGAGCAATCCGAAGCGGCGGCAATGGACAACTCCAGATCCATTTGCTATTTGATTGCTCATAGTTTTCTTGGCTGGGTCTTAAGGAGATAGCATGTCAAGAAGAAAGTTGAACAGCAAGAGCTCCCTGATGGGATTACAACTTCATGACTTGATGCTCAACATGGGCCGAGTTTCTGGAATAGCCCTGGTCTACACCACCACAAACGAGAAAAGCCTTGGCGGATGCCAACTAGGGGGTCTGGACATTTCTAAGAGATTCCTCTTAACATGGATCGCTCGTTTGGGTTTCGCGCTAAGTTCAGCTACAGTAGAAACTCGCACCAAACATGGAAATGCCCAGATCCCTTTTAAAGACGATTTTCGTCTCCGAAAGGGGTGCACTTCCACAGTTTAGCGCCTAAAACCTTCTACCATTCGTATAAAGGTTTCCTGGTCAATACGAATCGGCTTTGGGCGCGTGTCATTTGTTGATGGGAGGATGGGGTCAAACATGGTCAAACCAAAGAGCGTGCGAAATCAGTTGGGTCAGACCTGGAATCTTTGATCCCGGGCAGGGCGCGGCCGCAAAAAGTCAAGAATGCGCAGTGCCTTTTGTGCCGTTGCCTCCACTGGGAAACATGGATCGCCTTTTTGGAGGTCCGAGCGTAGCAGTATCGCAGGGGTGCCATGTTCGACTCGAAGCTGCGTTTCTTGATTTGGACAAACAAACAAGCGGGGATACGGAGGGAGCGGGGATATGGGGGGATTCCCTTGGCGCCATTTCCCATATCAAGCTTAGTCAAGATGCATTTAGCGGGAATCCTCCCGTATCCTTCGTTCCCCCTGTATCCCTGCTAGTTGGAGTCATCATCAAAACCAATCCGTATTAGAATGGTCTACTCAAAGCCATGCAAAGAACTAAAAGGCGGGCGCACCTAATTCTGGTTGGGACTATCTTGTACTAACCTTCATCTACCCGGTTTTGATGGTGGCTCAACTGCCCAAAGCAGTATTTCCCTTGTACACACGCAAAGAGTATAGGGTCCATGGATGCAGTCCGTTCCATGCATTCCCTCTCGGGGGTGGTTTTGATCATCTTTGTCAGGAAGGGAGCTCATTGCGAGGTTGGAGTTTGGCATATCCAATCAGCCAGCTCAACAGCTTGATTGACTACCACTCAGTTGTTCAGTAACCCTGGAAAAAACAGGGAACCCTTTTTGGGGAAGACCCTTTTTAGTGGGGCAGCCATCAAAAAGGTGACAAAAAGGTGCCATTCAACAACGGAGACCACTCTCATTTGTCCAATCAACGTATACAAGGGAGTCCCCCAAATGATTGCCCAAATGGCTTGCCAGTCTTCCAACACCTCCCTGGCTTCCAGGATTCTAGGGGTTGATTCCTGTTCCATTCTTTTCAACCATCGTTCTTTTCAAAACCGGATCGATGTTTCCCCAAAACTTTGCGTGTTTTTTTTCAGAAAGAAGGATGCCTGGAAAGAATGGGGATGGTACCCCTAGAATGATGGTTGAAGGGTATCTCCAGAAGGAATCTGCCACTCCCATTGGTTTTCTGCTTCTTGTTTGGTTAGGGGGGGGCAGCCAGAAAAAACGTGTCAAGGAAGTCTTCCAAGGACTGCCTTGTCCTGGCTAAGGAATGGCTTTCGCTCGTGCCGGGAAACCCAAGCGAGCAACAGCTGGCCAAGGAGCCTTCGCACTCGAAGGTGCGGAACTAATGCATAGAGTGGCTCCGAAGAGACTAGGGGCCCTCCTTAATTTGTATTCAAAATCAGACCTCCAAGGGGGCACCTCTTGTTGGAAAAGCGGGCACTGGAGGTCTCAAACCCTTGACTTCCATTGAATTCTGGGACCCGCGCGGCGAATTCCCCGGCCAGTAGCCTGCAGCTTCTGACCAATGGTTTGCATGAGCCTCTCCTTCTGTGATAGGAATAAATCCCCGTGACAGTGTTTCGTTCAAAGCTATTCTCTTGCTATGAACTTGGTCCAAAACCCCTTTTCCCCAACTATGACTCGCAGCGTAAAGGAGAAGCTATGACACCACGCTACAGCCTTTATGGTTGTCAGCATGAACCACATAAAGAGACATTGTCAAACCCAGTCGAGATTGTCGTCGAATAATCATAGTTTTTGCCGGGTGTATTTTTGTCCAACTGATATAAGGAGAACATACGAATTGTGGAGCTGAGCGGCAGCATATGTTTATGCGCAACCAATCAATGCACTCCTTGGACTTGGATGGTCCGGCCATGGAAACTAGGGTCCACGAGCAGGTTGCAATCACCCCGGGACCATGTAAGTACTCCTGTACCAAATTCTTCAGAGGTTTGGCTGCTGTTTCACAAAGCCTTGACAGCAGTTGGTTTCGCCTTTCTGAAGAGGACGGTTACAGGGAGCCAGCATGAAGCACACTTTTGGATAGTCCTACTGCTGTTGAAAGATGGCCGTGTATGCCTTGTTTGTAAAAGGGCAGTCCCTAGGTAAGGGGCCTTCATCATGGTGCTCATCACTGCTCTTTCAACCCTCGAATGGAATTGCTCGCCATCAGCATTGGCCTGAACAGAGCGTTAAACACAGGGCCTCGACAAAACAACCATTACCACTAGTTGCTAAAAACAGTGGCTAAATGTGCGTGTGTTTTTTCTTTTTAAGGATACCCTTTTGGGAGGTGGTGTTAAATGCAAAGAGGGAGACGGGGTTGCCGTTTGGAGCCCCTGGACCGGTACCGATGCTTTCACCCAAAACCCGATGAACTTCTTGGCCACTGCAGCTTCGAACCGCTTGCGGTCATGGTGGAACCAAAGTTTGAACCACAGGAGATGGCCAGCTTCCTGCTGCGGACCCTTGATTGGCCTATGCATTTTTGACCGGGTTGCTCTGAACATGCTACTTGTCTTCTAGGGGTTCATTTCCCAGTTTTTTCAACCATCGTTATTTTCCAAAATCAGCTGTTTCCCCTGGGAATGGCTTTCTAGAAAGAAGGATCCCTGGAAAGAATGGGGAAGCGTCCCCTAGAAAAGTGGTTGGGTGTTGGGCGCTAGCCAAACAGCACCCCAAACGGCTTGTTCAAACATGTCCAACAATCCCAAGTACTACTCAGTTCCCCATATATATAAATATAGCCACAAATCATGTCCAAAATCAGCACCCCAACGGCTTTTCCAACCATGTCCAAACTCCCAAGTGCCCGAAAAGCAGCGGTGAAGGGGCTGCATCGTTTCAGATCACGTCCTCCTTCCCGCGCGCAAAGCTGCCCTTGTGCCTCTGGACATGGGCTCTTCAATCGAAGACCTGGCGTTCGACCGATCGCCCGAAGCCATCAGAAGGACTCAGACTGCGTCTCTTGAGACTTGGTGCTCTTTCCGGCCTACCCTTCAGAGAGTTCCCCTTGTTTCCGACCTTTAAACATCACCCGCCGAGAGAACACTCCGTTTGAGTTGGCCGTTTCAAAACGTGACGTTGTACACCAGCAAATAAAACGTAGGGCTGCATGTTCTGTGATGAACTTGCACTATGTTCCCCTGCTTCCTCCAAACAAGACATGCTGTATACCGCCTCCAAAGCCCATGTCTTGAATCCTAAACAAAATCCAACGAAACCCTTGGCCTCGAGTCTCGGAATCTGGTCGGCTGTAAGTTCCTCCCCTTCGACCGATCGCATAAGTTTGACAAAGGGAAACCAAAGGAAACCTCAGCGCTTCCCAAGCCACTACAGTAGGTCACCAAGTATTATCGTTGATCTTACCATGGATGGTTTCACTGGATGCCTAATTACTATAGTGGCTTGCCTGGAAGCACTGGGAACACCAAAAAACTCGAGGCTCGAAGTGCCTGGTGGACTTCCAGTTTCTCGCGCTCGAGCCTGGTTTTTCCGAAATGAAACCTCGGTTGCTTTCTCTGCTTCCCTGCTAAAAGTTTACAGTAACTTTCAGTGGCTTAATGGAAAACCCATTAGTTGGCAAAAAGTTAACATCCTAACATCCCTTGCAAAATGCACCAGTGAAACGTTCATCCTGATGCTTCCAGGTTGCTCGGATATATCCAAAAACCACCTCCTTTGCAAGAATCCTCTGAAGCAGCTGGTACATGGCTTTTCACTGGCGCAAATGTATCATTTCAGGGCCCTTGCTTTTAGGTTTCAATGATTGAATCAACTGTCCAAAACACACCTCGGCCAAGGTCTTAACGTATTCCTAGGTGCCTCGGAAATACGCCCCAAATCCACGAAGGGGTTGATTTTCTTTGAGGGTTCCCTTCTCTGGGCGATTCGTACATCTCGTGCATTTTGTGTATCTTCTTTAGCGGATGTCACGAATCCCTGAAAACTTCCACAAGTCTCAAAGTCGAACATACGCCTTGATTGTTATACCGGTAGTAACCGGTAAGCGGCACGGCTGGGAACAACCAACATGTTGGGGTTATGTTAAAGGAGGCATCGGCTTCTGCTCAGTGCGCTTCCCTCGGCTGATCAGCCACTTTTCGAGTATTTCCCGTGACACAAAAAAAGGAGCCATGAACAAAACTCCGGTTGCCTGCAGAGTGTTCTGGAGCTGGTTTTGAGCTGCAGTCTTTTTCGGGCAGCCTTTTACTGATGCAGCATCTTACGGTTTTGTTTGCTAGAGTGCTTGATTGGTAACTTCAGCACTTTTTTCTCAACACGGCTTTGTGTTGGAGTTGGACAGCTTTCTGTTTTGTCTAATGCAGTGGCACTTGTATTGGAGAGCAGATTGTTGTTTTCAAGCCTGGCTTCCAGCAAAGCATGGCGTGCGGGCGTGCGGGCCACTCTTGCTTTTGCCTGTGACACTATGGTCGGTGTTGCACGTTCCTGTGTTGTTGGATGTTGTTAGGGATTTTGCCAGCGTCGGGCACAGATGCAAAGTTTTCTAGCTTTTGTAACCTCCAGAAAGCCCCTGGATGCTGATGATGCAAAGTCAAGGGCTTAGAAGACTTCAAAAGCTTGTGATGCAACTCCTCAAATGTCGGAATTGTTCACGAAGAAGCGGCAAGCAAAGCATCAAGCACGTTGATGCACTGTTGCCGTAATCAGCTGAAATCAAAAATGAACACAGGCATATATGGCAGCTTTCACGCGGCCTTCGGGCTGTTGAAAACGACAATTCCATCAGAACTAGATTGAGTGACGCCGCAACTCAGACGAAGCTGAAACACATGTCCAAACAGGATTCGCTTTCCGAGGTGCCTTCCCTCTCCCGTCTCACTTCCATTGATTGTCAAAAAGGGTGAACACTCCTGCGTGCCCTTCAGCAAGGACCTTCTCAATGAACGCTCAAACCACCAGCTTGACCATCCAACACACTCGGGATAGGAAGCGCCAGGGCCGCGGCATGCTTTCTCTACATCTTAAAACCTCCAGAAAATTTTGCATGTGGCTCTTGTGGAACAACCCCTCTTTCTCAATGAACCCACCGGGGAAGAACAGGTGAAATCCGCAAAATGCGCTTCCAAACCCATTTTCCAGATCTAATTTTTTCCCATCAAGCCATGCCCTTCACTCAGAATTCCGGCCGACTTGCTCAGGAACTCGTGACTCGCTCGAATCCCTCACTCTCGCTGAGGCCCACCTGGACATATCCATGTGGCCCTGGCGTTGAGAAGCTTGTCACAAACCCTCTGGACCAACATACAACCCACCCAAGTCGAACAAGGTCTTTCAGGAGGAATCTAATTGATCGGACCAAGCTTGCAGTTGCTTGGAGTCCCTTCGATTCAATGAATGAAACACTTTCTTCAACGATTCCAAGTCACAAGGGATCCCCTTCGCAAATGCTTTAAGTACCCGGTGAGCGGTGTCTGCCTTAAGCAAAAAACCAAACCAAAACCGCGGAATGACATTTCAAGCTGTGCTCGCTAGATGCCATCCAACAAATCAGCATCCGGCAAGAATGCTGGAAAGACAACCCGATGCAAACAACCCTTGCGGAATCCGCGTTAATCTGGGGTCGACATTCATTGGGTCGGACAGTTGTCAAAGAACATCAGACACTTCAGGGTGACTCCCAAGACCCATCGGCAGAAGTGTGGTGAAAGGAAATCAAGTTGGAACCCTTCCACTATGTTTTGGAGTCCCGCATTTTTTAGATGGAGTCCTTTGGGGTTCAGCTTTTCTGGGTACGGTGATACAAAAAGGTGGTTTCACCAGGGCACCCCTTTTGGATTGTTGATTCTACAGGGAATGACCCCCCCAAAGAAAAACGAAAAAGAACGTGGCATGAATAACAGCCCGAGAACCCTCCGGAACATTCCCTGAAGCTGATCCAAACCATCCCAGAACCTATCTGGACATCATAGCTTCCAGCCGTTGATAAAAGCACACATCACTAAGAAAGCATACAAAAAAGGCACCATGAGAAGGAAGCCGGTCGTGGAAAATGGAATGTTCTTCCCAAAGTGGTTGATTCCCATAGCTACTTTTCTCACTCAGTGGATCCTGGTACATGCCCTAGGGGATTTGGAGGGCTGTGCCGATTTGGCCAACATTTGCCTGGAAAGCAGTATAAGTGGCATATACGGGTATTTGCTTAGGGCCCCCCCCGAAAAAATATGGGTGACTTCCTTTTAACAGACACAGCACATCTCTACATAAATATAACCTCCATACCTCCCAAACCCATACCTGAGATGCCCTTAAGACTCTCAACCATGCCCTGGCGCTCGCTCGCATGTTTCTTTCGGCGGCCGCAGCAACTCTCTCTGTGCCAATGCCTACGCAGAATACCCGACCCAGGGGAATTTTGTTCGAGCCACGATAGCCCTTGCACATGTGGGAAAATATATAATGCCAAATAAGGAAGTCGTATTGTGTATGGACGAAACTTTGAAAACATGGGAAGCCATTGTTTGATTCCAGGGTTTCTTAAGTGGACTTCGCCCTTCCACAGTAAGGCAAGTTCGAACTTTGTTGCTTGTCAAGAGCCCTCCAGTGGAATCTCACGGAAGCACAGAGCCCTACTAGCTTCTATTGGGATCAACAACATAGGACGAATGGCCAACAGTCGCTAGGTTCCAACATGGCTATTGCCATCGACAGGTGCTCGGAAGCCTCTTGCTCGTTTGGTTATATACATATATATATATATGTATGTATGAGTGTATGTATGTATATATATATATATAAACTCCTTGTGCATGAGCCATGGGAAGACGAAGAATGCGTGCTTCCGGCAACGCACACAGAAAAACTCGTGAGTGTCCTTCTTCTGGTGGGAACTTGGATACCCCGAACTTCCCTTCCAAATTCACTTTAACCTACCAGACATTCTGACCAACTGGCATGGGAATTCGGTTAACTTGGGTACCCAATGTCATCCCCATATACGGTCAGCGTCGACTGTTGCTCTCACGAAAACTGCCAACGGATATCTCATCGAACGTGGAGCGGTCGGGCTTTCGCACGGGCATGATGCGAAGCGGATGGCAAAAGCTTGCCACGTGATTGGAGCTTCAGAACCCTCGGTATGCGTAGCAAAACACTGACGGTGTCTTTTGCAGCCCGCGTTCCCAAAAAACAACAACATAATCGAGGAACAACAAAAAAAACAAGAAGCAAAACATTTAGCAAGAACAGTGAAGGGATATCACCTCGGCTGTTCTCAGACCCCCTGCAAAAAGTTTAACTTTTAGTGGGTTAAATGGACACTACCACTAAGCCCCAAAAAGATAAACACCTAAGGGGATGGCTGGGAACCGGCAGTTTCTCTCAAACTCGTGGATCCCCTTTTTGCATTCTGGAAAGGCGCGGCTTGGCTTCTGCCTCCGGAAACTTCGGGCAGGCGCAAACGTCGTGAGGTCGAAACAACAAAAAAGAAAGAGAAAAGCCACACTCAAACGTGGGGTCCTTCAAAGTGAACTTTTGAGGGGGAGGGTGTCCCTTTCATTCACCTTTCTTGGCTGGAATCAGGACCCCAGCAAAAATATATGTATTTCTTGCCTGGTTAGTGGAAAACGAAGGGAACCCCAAAAAGGAAAAAACAAAAAGGGGAGCTAATTCTGGGGAAGCTTTGAGAGGACAATTTTGATGGGCCCAGCCAAAATATGTGGATGCCGAAAAAGGAAATGGACAATTCGTGAGCCCCCTTTTCTTGTGCAGACCCTTGATGACAGATGTGCTGTCCTGCCCGTCGGTGAGACGACGCAAATCTGCGGACGAAACCGCGGGGGTCTCCGCGCACGATGTGGCAGAAAAAAAAACGCGAGACCCAGCGGTTTGGAATTCTCGGCATCAAAAGGCTAGGGGCCTTAGTTTGAATGCGGTTGTGTGGGGACTCGACCAAATGATAAAAGAAAGACAAGGCGTGTAATTCGGTCACCCCTTAATCGCACTTTCAGTCCAAGGCAAATGTATGAACCTCTCTAGTGAACCTCTAGTCTCTTCATGTATGCACTGTTCATCATGTCTTGATTGTGAGAAGCAAGGTAAGTTGAGCCGTGCGGAAACACACATCCCTCGCAGGTCCAATTAGAGAGCTTGTCTCTAAAGACGCCTCAATATGGGTGGTTTGATTTAGGTGTGTCTCCAAATGGTGGCTTCGAAATGCCGGGTTTTCTCCTTGGGTTTCCGCTCACACGTGCCAAAGGGTGCACATTCAAAAAACCGGACACGCGCACACACACACACACACCCATGAGTCCCTGTCGAAGACTATTCGGACCCATGGCAAAAATCGGATGCCCTCCGAGTTGCAGTTGAACTTCAGCAAGCCCTCCCAGGTTTGCCCACTATGGTGCCCCTCTGTTTAACAGAAGGTGGTTTTTCCTCTTGTTGTTCCTCTAAAAACCGACCTGAAAACGCATACCCAACATGGATTCAGTCCCATGGTGACCAAAGACTACTTTCCTGAAAAGGCAAAGCTAATCTCCTGAAAAACGTGGCATGTTACTTTGTACTTTCAACTGCTGGACCTGGACATTTTATCGAAACCTCATATGAGCAGAAACGCAAACTGAACCAGTGCCATGCGCCATCTACGTTTCACCAGACTCACCAAAGGATCCAAATTGACCTGGCCCACTTCAAGGGTAGCTATTTATTTGGTCTACCCTAAGACATTGAATAGCGTTCAAACAGACCCCACCCTTTTGGGTCAATGAAAATTCGCAGCGCAGGCTTGCTCGCACAGGAGGGCTGAGGGCTTAGCCCTCAGACCCGTGGCAATGGGCGAAGGAGTCAAGTGAGTCATGTGAGTGTGCCTTTGTTTTGATGCAAAAGGTATCAGTTGCAGGTTGAAGGTTGGCTAGGAAATCAAAGACAAAAAAAAGCTCCAGTTTGAGGGTCACCCCTAGTTTGATATAGCCATCTGTAAAATTGCATGGCGGTTTGGGCTTGGCTTGTCTCGAGCACCCAAAAAACGCCAACCAAAGCCGATACCCTTATTGTCCGTCCCTCGTGTCCCCCCCATGTGCCTAAATAGACCATAGACTGGATATGTTCACCAAACCTCACCAACCACCACTGGTGCAAATCTAAACCTCGCGCGTCTGTGGCAAGAACCTGCCGGAACTTCTCTTCCGATGCCAGACCTCTCCTGGCGAGGTCGGGGCCCAGACAAATGGTCCGTGCGGAGTGAACAGCTGTTTAAAGGCTTGGAGCTTAGAAGCAAGTAACTCTTTCCCCCCCGCGAAACTGGGGTGCCAGCAAAAGCGGGTGTTCAGGGGATTAAACAAACGCATCAAATCAAAAGCGGCATCGAAGAAGTGCCCCACATGCCAGGTTGTCAAAACCGACTCCAAACTTGGAATTGTGGGCCGACTGATGGGATCATTACTGGTTCATCATCGATACGGAGGCTTGCCATTCCCATGCGTGGGCGGGTATGTTGTCAAACCATCTGACCAACTTGGGGACCCTTTATCTTGAAACAAACCCACAAAAGGGAATCCTTCTCAACCCCCCCCATCTTGTGTCTGGCTTCTTGATCTCGACAGGATAATTCTTTTTCTTGCACTGCTACCTTGCCGAGTGGCAATTAGCCTGAGTCCTCCGTCTCCGGGTGATTTCTCTGTTTTCCGTTCTCCGTGTTTTTGTTTTTAGTTATTTTTTCTTGTTAGTTTGGGCCCGCGATGATACAACTCGGCACACTATCCCAGCAATCCTGCAACTCTGCGCACTCGAGTTGGTATTCCACCGTTTTTGCCAAAATGCACTCTCCGGAAGCTTCGTCTGTCTTTGAACTTGCTTTGCGGAGTTTGTGTTTTTTGCGCGAGTTTGTGGGCCTTTTGCGGGTTTGTTGCGCTGAGTTTCAGGTGTGGCGCTTTCCGGGTTTGCCAATTAGACACACCCAAAGGCGCAAATCATGAATGAATCCGAATTCGAATATCTCTGAATACTGAATAACTGATTCTGATTCATGTGAATGATTCGGAGTCTGAATATGACTGAACTGGAGGGCTCCTTCAGTCAAGTACCGAATAATTGGGATTTCTAGGGGTTTCAGGTGTGCAAACCAATTTTCAGCAGTGACAATCATTTGTCTATACTTGTACCTTCAAAACTAGGAGCTTGAAAACTAGTCTCCCGAATTTACGTCAAAATTCCATGATTTGGAAGATCCAGGGAGTATTTGCCATAGTTTCATCCGGCAGCATGAGTCAAAGCCAGCGGAGTATGCGACGTTCAACTGTAAGGGAAGCCACGAGGGAGGCACTGAGCCTGACAAAGGGAATACGGCCACGTCGATTCCACGGAACCAGGTACCTCTCACGAGAGGAACAGCCTCCCCAAAGGGTCTTAGGCTCGTCAGACGTCAATTTCGGTCGTCCGGGCAACAATTCCCTCAAAGCCAGGAGAGGTAGTTCCTGCTCCTAACCCAACTGGACAAAAACCGGGTCTCCTGCCAAACATTTCCCTTGTACTGAAAAACGAAATGTATGAACAGTTTCTTTCTTGCCAGTACCCACCAAAAAGGGTCCTTAGACAAAGAATGTCCAGCCCCCCAGTCAGGTTTCAGGTTGGTATGAGAGTTCCCCCTTCCATTTCTCAGGTTGGGACATCTGGATTCCGCCCAACGAATCAGGAGCGTTTCCAACGGGACCTGAATGGGTGCCCTTTGATTCGCTGGGGCAAGCACCATCGGACCATCGAAAAGGCCCAACGTTTCTCTTGGGCCGGACAGGGGCCCGCCTCAAGTGCAAACCTTTGCTTGTTGAAAAGGGAACTATGAAGGAAATCCAAAAAGGCAAGACTTGGCCCAACCAAACACTTTGTTGCGGTCCTTGCTCAGATTTAGTCAACCTTGAAACAGCAATTTGGCTATGGAGACCCCAAAAAAGGGTGACGCAGGTTCGATTTGGGGAACCCCTTCTCATTGATTGAAGGGTTCAAGGGCCCGTTTCACCCATTGACCTTTGGTTCTACTGACATGGTTAGCCTTTATACAGGCACACTCCCAAATTCAACCTACTTTGCAACCATGGAAAACCACTAAAATTGTTGGTATTTTACAGGGGGATCGCATCATTCCATGGTTTCTTAGGCGGTGCGAAATGGATTTCGTCCATCCACAGTAGTCCACTTTTGGGCATTGGTTTTGGCGAGTCTGGCACGCGCCCAAAGCCAGCCTAGTCGGCCACAGTGTTTGGAAGCACATTGCTCCTGAGCTCACACTCGCCAACTTGGCTTCGTGTTGAGGCTCGGTACCCCGTTTCGGGTGGCTTTCAAAGAGACACCAATTGGAACCCCAGTTTGACACATACCCAATTTTGGTGTGCTTTTTGGTGTTCCTTTCGAAGCACCCTGTTGGAATCCTCAAGTCTGCTCTCTGCACGGAAAGGGCCACCTCTCCGGTCCTGTTCTCAACATCACCATGACCCTTGACACATTCGGCACACACATAATGTTCGGCGCTATGACCCATTGTTAAAGGGTCATGGAGACTCCAGGTAGAATATTTCAGCTACACCCCCAAAGCTTGGGTTCCGACTCTGCCGGATTGTTTTTTTTCCCGGGCTCCACTTCCCGATCCCAATCCGCGAAGCGAGCCGAATCCGAAGCGAGGAAAACTCGGGGCCCCGGGCAGATCTGGGAGCGTCTTGCCGCCCAGGCGGATCTGCGGGGGCCGCTCCGACAAGGTGCTCTGCTGCCAGGAGGAGCACTTGGAGAGCTTGGCTGGCGCAAGCGATCGCATCGGCGATGACAGGGGTCAAAATGGGTCAAAATCCGAATCGTACCCGTGAAGATCCCAATCCAGCCACTGAAATAGGAAGCCTAAAATGGGTGGTGAATTCACCTACCCCAAAATGGTACCATTGGTTTTGACCCAGCCATATGGAGGCGAGATCGAGCGCGGGAGAGAGAGATCTGAATTTTCCCAGACTTTTTGTTTTGAGGGCAGTGATGATTGGGTGGCTTGAAAGGACGACCAAAAGGAAAACAAGTAGATTGGGAGGGTCGCCTAAAGAAGGCCCACACACACATGGAGGGATTCGGGGAAGGCTCCCCAAGGAGTGAATCGACCAAAAGAAATGTAAAGCCTGAAATCAACACATGGTCTTCCCCAGTTCCCTTGACAACACCCGAACAGCTTGGGAAAGGAATGTCTAAACGAAGACATACAACAAGTCATGACAGGTCGAAAATCGAAAATCTTGCAAGTTTGTCAAACATTTTGGGGACAAATCCACAAGTCTTCGAGTCTTGAGTACTTGTTCGCGAGCGGGCGCCTAAGACCCGTGAATCCTCGATCGGGTCTGAAGGCTGTCCTGGGCTGAAGCGGCGAAAAGCGCGAACCCGATCTTCCACCCCTTCCATGTCACTTCCCAACAATGGCAAGTTATCCCTTTAGATTCCATTCAATTCAACCTCCCCACAAAGGGTTGATGAAGGACCCCTGGTTGCTGCTTCTTTGGAGCCAACACTCAAATGTTCGAAATGGGGTCATGCGACAAGCCATTTGATCTGGGAAAAACAATACCCTCCCCACTAACATGGCACCTGACAGAGGGTCGCTAGAGGAAATTGACCCCCCCACAAATGCTATGTTCGTGGAAGGGTATGATTTATGGGAACCTTCCGCAAGGAGCCTTCATCGCCGTCGCAACGCGCACGTGGCTATGATGTGAGATTTTGTACTGTCACCTTCCACGTGGAAAGAGGGTAGTGCTCCCCTGCAGATTAGCATGGAACCCCAAAAGGCCAAAAGGGGGGTGCCCCCAAAAGGAGCTTTCTAACCTGTGGGTTTTGCTTTATGCCTTGAAAGGACACCCATTATACCCACCCTTGTAAGACATAATAAGTTACATATAAATATGTACATATTATGCACATGGGTATGTGTCAAACATTGCGGTTTTCCTGGAAGTTTCTGTTCACACCAAGGTGAACAGAATACTCTCACGAGGGGCAGTTTTAGCAACAAGGAGTTGACCCTTGCTCCAAGGGTCTAATGCAGCCGAACCCCTGCAAAAAGTGACAGCTTGCAGGCTTACAGGGGAAAAAATGAACAAGGGATGCCAAAAGCACCAAGTGGATTACCAAAAGGAACACCAAGAGGAATACCTTAAGAAACTGGCCAACGGAATAGCAAAACAACAAGGGCAAAAAGCTTGGCAGCGATACTCATGCTTCCTTTGTTCACCCTCCATTTGCTTAACCCTACAAAAACGAGAGTGATAGATTGCCTTTCAGACCAACAGGGGAAAATAAAACATATTCCTAAGAAAGCACCTTCCATGTGGCTAAGCCTCCTGGAATACAAATGATAGTAATGGAGTCTATTTCAGATAAAAACGGGAAAATAGTAATGAAAAATAACTTAAGCAAATGGAAGTCACCAGTATAACCTGCGAGGCTCTGCTCGGAAAGCGCTTCGCGGTACTCCGCCGGGCCAGGCGACTCAGGCGCTTGCGCCTCAGCCGGCGACGGTCGCCAAATGCCCAAAGTGAGACCCGTTGCGCGTTAAAAACTCAGATGCCAAGTCTCGGTTGCTTTCTGCCCCCCTGCTAAAATATAACTTCTAGTGGTTTAAAGGAAAACCCATTAGTTGGCAAAAAGTTAAAGTCCTAACATCCAAGCAAAATGCACCAAAGCAGTGGCCATGGGAAACCCTTTTTTGGTTGGTTGAGTTTAAAGGGAAACCCTTACCCCAACAAAAGGAGAAAAGGGCACTATCGCGCAACAAAGAAAAAGGAAACCCAGCAGGACAAAAGGGCCAAACGGTTGGTTTAGCCTGGCAACGGGTTGGGGTTGGCTAAAGGAACCAAAAGGGAACTATTCGAGGGGTTCCCTAGTTTGAGACAAAACCCATATATGACCTGCTCTGCTTCGCAAAGGAGATGTTTCAAGGGGTTCCTAGACGGGCTCCGAGAACCTCTTTCAAAGGGGAGCCCAATTGACTCTCCTATTCTGTTTCAGACCCACCTCGGACCCCGACAAGAACAGCAGGGCTTCCATGAATTAGAATCCAATCCCTGAAGCCCACGAAAACTTGGGATGGCCAAACGGAATGTCTAGAGCCGGAAACAACCAACACGCACGAGCTCGTTTTTCCGAACCCCCAAGACGCAGATCTGGAGTCTTGATGTTGGTTCTGTTTTCTGGGAGTTCTCAAGTTCAAAGTCGGAAAACATGGGCCGGGGGTTCCCTTCTTTCAGAGGGTCTTTGGGGATACCCTCAAAATGGTTTGGGGCTTTTTTGGGAACCCACATAGAAACGGTGACTTTGATCATGACAAACTACTGAGGCCAGTGGATGGATCGCTGCTTTAGTGGAAAGGTGTTCGATCCTCGTTCACTGACTCTTCTGAGGAAAACCACCAAACTCCGCCGAACATCTAAGGTGCTTACATACCCAACATGGACTTACTCCTATAATGGACATATCCCCAAAATCGGAGAATAAAGATGGGCTGTAATTTCACGAATTGTACAGGGAATATGCAGGTACCCCAAAAATTCCATGCTACACAGCTAGGCTGGGGCCGGTTCATTCGGGTCCTGCCTGGACCTTGAAAGGCATCCTGCTATTGCAAAATCTGACGGGGGGTCTCTCATTTCTCTGTGGGCCTCCCAAAGTTGCAGCAATGCAAGCCATCAAGAAAGGAACACAAGGTTTCAAGTGGAATCCGGGTGACCCCTGTCCGATGGAGCCACCCAAGGATCCAGAATCGGCGAAAAATGCCAATCTGCGGTTTTGCGGTGTCCCTTGAAATGCCCTGATCGGAATGGACCCCCAAAAAATGATCCGTGTGCATTTTGGGGGCTGCCCCCAAAAAAGACACCCCCCAAACCCCGCTTTTACACGCCAGTGTTTGTGTTCCAATGGCACCCCGAACCTGACCTCCGGAAAAGGACACCCGTTCTTAGCTGTTGCTCAGCTGACAGCTATTTGTCTCGGCCCAGAGAAGCTGGGGTTTGGGTAGGGGTAGCCTCAAAACGGAAGCCTCAAAACTGGCATTCCACTAGTCGGTACCCTCAAACGACCCCTGATTTTCACCTCCAAGCACAACCCAAGGGGTGAGGCTTCGATTCAGGCTGCTCCAAAGACGCCAGAACAAACTGTTGAGCTTGACTTGTTTGTGGGACTTCCACCAAACAAAAAGGGTGGGTGCCACTGAAGTGAGTTTGTGGGAGCGAGGGTCGAAGATTAGCAAATCTAGAGGGATCCAAAAAGAAACCGACGCAATGTTTCCACTCTCGTGATTTGGCTTCCCTTTCGGAACGGCTCTGAAAAGCAGGTCGTTCCAAAAAAGGGACGCTGGGCAGGCGAGCTTATGAAGTTGTTTTTGGCAAGGCGCTTGTGGCAGCAAACGAGCTCCGTCCTGTAGAGGAAGACCTCAGTTCCGAGCGAAGCCGATGATTTTCAGAGACATTCCAGGGTGGGTTGCAGCATGCAGCATATGATTAAACAATCAGACCCGGGTTCCGTTTGAAGTAAAACACAAAGGGGGTTGTTTAAGCTACAATTCTAGCGGCACCTTCCCCGTTCTGTTCAGGGATCCTTCTCCTCTTTAACTAGCCCACAACCGGGGGGATTCGCGGTTTTGATCGGTTCAGACACGTTTCAAAAGGTGAATCGCGCAGCCCTTCTACGAGCAATAGAACCGCAGCGCGCCCTCCGAAGCCCCAAAGTGCAAAGAGTGAATCACTTGCTGGGTGCCAAAAGTAAAAGAGACACCTCCCAAACCTCCAGGCGATTTCTGACGAAACACACACACACACATACACACTTGTTTGGTTACTTAATTTTGAAAGGAACCCAGTCCCAAAACAAGTTGAAAACACCGCCATGGTAAATGACTTCTTTTGGCACAAAGGCCCCTTCCCGGGCCTCTTGTTGCGTCTTGCGTGGCTTTCCGATTACCAAAAAAACCAAGGGCAACCCCTGTGAAATCCCGCAGCAGAATTGAACCCAACACACCTAGACACCATGATGCGCTATTGGCCCCTATTGGGATTGGGGCCTGTTATGAGGGCCCTTGACAATGGTAGCCACTTGAAAGTTTTCGGGTGGTAGGGCCCCTGAGTCTTCAAACAATCCCAAAACAATAAAGCAACGAGCGAGCTTAGTTAGAGGAAGACCTGAGGAAAAACAAGGGCACCCGCAAAAGAGGTGCCCATAAAGGATGTATCTTCTGCAAATGAGCTTTCTTTGGGGGTTCCATGCCGCTTTTCAGGGATGCTTGCCGTTTCTCATTGCGAGACTTCTGGGGGAACAGGGATTCACCACGGGGCAATGGGAACCCAGCTAGTGCTGTCGCATCTTTGGACGGGACCCTTCACTCCTTCCCCGAATCCAGAAGATACTGGGCCAGACTTAGACACCTTGCAACAAGTTGATATGTTGCTGGTTGAAGGGGAATATGATGGAAAGCCAAAAAGGCTTTGGGGTCAAGGTAAGTTTAGTCTGGCTGTGATTCGTAGTGTTTTTGAGGGTACCCTTTTCGCCTTGCTTTATCTGGGCTGTCCTCACCTGCTCAAACTTGAAAACTTGTCAGTTAAATGGAAACCCAACCATGAACCAATTAAAAACACCGTCAAAAAGCTCACGAACTGGGGAATTCGCTGGGGAATTCGCCTTGGTGTCACGGGAAGCCAAAAGGAAAACCGCGGAGAAACCCACGGGAACCATGTCCCAAGCCGACCGTCGAGCCACGGTTAAGGAGACCGTGGCGATTTCAGCCAGGACCTGATACGCCACCTCTTCGTGAAAGAGCGTGTAGTCCATCCTCGAAACATGGGGATTTGTCCTTCTTGGTGAGGGTACCACCTTTTGGTTGGTAAAGTGAATCCACCCTGAACCATGTAAAGAAATACAAAGGCGAAGAAGGCACCCAGGTGTGGTTGGGACTATCCCTCACTAACCTTCATCTACTGGGCTTTGATTGTGGCTAATCTGATCAAAGCTTTCGGAACGCTGTCATATAAAAACCTAGAGGCATATATCTGGTTACTTATCATAGCGGCAACTATATAGATTCACTGGGGCTTCCCTCAATAGGATTACTTGTCATGGTTGCCAACTTTTTCATTTAGGAATCCATGGCCGTCGCGACCAAAACCAAGCCAAAGGAAGTTGTAACCAAGGCACATGAGCCCCAGACAAAATTACTCATTCCAAAAAATGGAGACATTGGGCCCAAAAACCGGACAGCTGCTACAAGTTTCAGACTTTGTGACCTTTCCGAACTTACCAATGGATTCCCAAGAAGCTTAAAGGCCAGTGAATTGCATTTGTAGCCTTTGACTTTTGGGAAAACGTGTGTCTTCCCGCTAACCTGCAAACAGTAGTCTTGGGCTCAGACCTTCGAGCGGTGACACGGACCTGCAAAACGTTATACCTTTCACGCAGGCAGCCAGAGGGGCCTGCCCTTCTGGTTGAAAGCTTTCCGCCCACTGGCCTTCGAAACGTGAAAGGGAACCGAGAGATGCCGATGTTTGAATGCCATCCCGCCAAAGCAGCTTAGCTTTTGACAGGTTATTGGGCAAATAATCATTTCCCCCCAAAGTTGAAGGCTAAAGATCCAAGCCCCAAACCCAATAACATTCAAACGTCGATTTTGGTTCGTTGTTGTTGCCATCAGCTTTTCCCAGAGTGAAATCCAACGATGCGAGCAATACAGCCTTCATGGGACTCTAACCTCACTTCTCCTAACCCCTACCCCACTGCATTCGCCAAAAGACCTCCTCACTAAACTACGGCTGGCCGGAAAGCATTTAGCTGCGCGAGGCCTTCTCTGTGCCAGGGTCTCTGTGCAACGTTTTTTTGGCAAGTTTCTCTACGCAAGTTGTTCTATTCTGTGCAAGCTTTCTCTGCGCAATACTTGCGAGCAATTCCCGCGTGAAAATTTTCTCTGTGCAAGATTTGCACATTCTCCTCCCAAAACCTGATGTCAGGAACATTGACCAAGGTACACCCAGACCTTCCTTCGACGCCGTTATACACGATCGTCTTCCATATACAGGTGTCGCCGCTTTCACACACATTCGCACATTTTTTCACATATGCTGCTTGTTGCCAATCCCACGCCGTTCGCCACTTTATGGCTAAGATGACGATTCGATCGCCACAAATCAACTAAAAATGCAGATGCGCGCATTCATCGCAGCGCCGTGTCCCTCTGGAACTTGTAGCTCCTTGCCAACGAGTACTCAGGCAGCAGTTGCCAACTCATGGGGGGTATGTTATAAGCCTGGCATGGATTAGAACGCCCAGCCTGACGAATTTTCTGGCCTGCTTCAAGCGAAGCAGCGACCGCTTGAGCACAGTCTGGTGGAGCGTGTGCTTGTGCGCGTGGACACATAAACCTGCAACCATCGCGCAACCCCTATGTGGCTCCAATTCAAGCTTTACCCTAGCAAGCAACACAACACATGTCTAAAAATGCAAGTCATGCAGCTCTTGGCAAATTTCATCATATCCTCATCAGCCATCGTGTGCTCGAAGCGACTATTGATTCCTCATGATCATTTACGTGCACAGACACGAGTGGAAAGCTGAAAAAGCACAAGTGCAATCGCATACATGCATATTTGGAGAGCCAAAGAACTGAGCCTCTGCGTATCGATCAGATGATGGTGCATTGCCTCGCGATTAGTGCAAGGCCAACAATTTTCTAGTTGGGAAATGCCAGCGCTTCTCAGATGCTGGAACGAATGAAGATGGGGTTTGAATTCATTCAAGGGCCCTTTAACACTCATCTTTGTTGCAATTGCGTTTGATATCACAAACGCCTAGACCCCCTGTGACATACACCTGCGTAAAAGACAAGCGCCAGGGCACAAATTTCAATGCCCAACCCTTCGCGCCGCCCGCCCATGTGCGGCCGGAGCACGTGCAGCTTGGGAATCACGGTCCAACGCAGGACCCCGCGTCTGGGCAGGGCAGGGCTGCAAGCTCTTTGTGTCACTTGGTATAAGTGGATTGTCAGGCGTTGGTTTGACCCAAGAAATATTGCGTCGTGTGACTTGGCGCCTGGTCGTGGACCTGGCCAGGGCTTTAAAGCAAGCCAGATACTGGTACCCGAACTGGGCAATGATGGCCGCTTCACGTTCAGACCTTGGGGCAAATACAGATCTTTGAGTCCAACCTAGCGCTTGCTTCGACACAGCACGCTAGCATGCTAGCTGGTCAATGTGCGTTATCTTCGAAGCGCGTGCGTGTCCTGATTCCTATAGGCACGTTGCGCATGTGCGTCGACTGTGTCTGTTTCTTGATGTCTGTGACCACTTGTGACGTCTGTTTCATATTCCTGTCTGTATGGTTGGCCGGGCGTGTGCTGCTGCGCGTGCCTGCGTGCGCTTGTTTTCGCGCGTGCGTGCACGTGTGATCTCTCTGTTAACCTGTTTTAATGTTTGTGCGTGTTTCGTTTGCGTTTGCACTTGTGTTCTCAAACATTATACAGCCTAGGCCTACTTCTGGGTGGTACTGCTCACGCCATGTTGTGCATGTTGCACGCGCACGTGATCCCGCGCTGCAGCTGTGTCTTTGTGCGTGTGTCCGCGCGCGTTTATCCTGATGCGCTTTCTGCGCGCCCGCGCCTGTGCGTGTGTCGGTGCTGGTCTGTGTGCGCGTGTGTCTGTGTGTGCGTGTGCGTGTGTGTGTGTGTGTGTGTGTGTGTATGTGTTTTTGCGCGCTTGTTCCCGTGCGCTTGCGTGTCCCCAACGCCTGTCCACATGCGTTTGCGGTCTTGATGCGCTCGGCAAGCGCGCATTTCGTGTTAATTAATTTCATGCGTGTGCCAAAGATGGCCTTGAAAGAGAACTCAAATAAAACCAGTGTCACTAAGACTCGCGCAAATACCTGCCCGCGCGTTCGATCGATAGAATGAAATTGCTTGCGCCTGTCCTGACATCAGCACATTAGTGTAGCAGCAAGGTGGTTCCAGTGTGATGCCTTTGCCATGGGTGCAACTGAAGATGACAGACTGAGGGAATGGCAAGCAGCCGCACATCAAAGCAATTTCTTCATCGCCAGGCCGTTGTCGGGCCAAATCCACACTGCATTTGGCGAGCCAAGAAGTAATCACCCGCCCGTTGTAAGCTTTGTGGCTCATGAGAGGCTCCTGGTCCGGTTTATCTTTGCTCTTCAGGACCTTAGGCAATGCCGTTGTGGTTTACCCCCGCCCAAGAAAACATATATGCAATATTCGGTTTCGACATGCGCACATTTAACTTTTCCACCTTGTACTATTGTGGTCAGGAAACACCCACACACACAATTTCATCAAGCCACCATGCCCGGAGAAAAGCACGGTTGAGAACATTGGATGTTCTCATTCTTCAGCCACTGTCTGAAATGGCGGTACGCATGTTTCAAGGCGTCCTTCAAAGGGGTGCTCGCATCGCACCAGAACCCTTCTTCGCATAGCGTCAGCCTTAGATCCGACTGGGTCAGCTTACAAATTTCCAGGCGGACATGAACGCAAGCGTCAATCAACATTTTCCTGGCTGTTAGACAAACTGCATGGCCGAACCGTTGGACCGCTGGAAGGCCCCCAAGTACAAATTGTGAGCCAGGCAGAACCGGATCATCGTGCAGTGAAAGCCGATGATTGTAAAGATGGGGCCTTGGCCCGCTTTCACACACCGAACCAATCAAAGCTTAATGTGCATGCTAGTGGCAGAGCGGACCCCTCTGCAACTTGGTGTTCAGAAACTGCACGTGGCTCACCTGGTTGTTGACCCACGTGGCTGTGGGGGTGAAGTCAGCAAACGAGTCTCCCAGTGTGACCCCGGCAGAAGGGTTTTCGGCGTTGCACTTGAAGCAACACCGCTTTGACACCCAGTATGAGTTCAGTCCCAATGAACTGTAATACCAACTCCAGTCACCTCTCAGTTCTGTGAGTGCGAACATGTGTTTCTCCCGACAGATCCATTGCGATTCATCTGTATCCCTCTGACTCCGTGTTGATGATGATGATGATGCTGCTGCGGGGGCGGAGATGTAGCTTGGCCCCAGTGGTTCACCAAGATGGTTTATACTCGGCCGCAGTCCTGTATACAGAGTGTTGAGTGCCCAGGCGACATAATTCCAGAGAGGAGTGAGGGTTGGCTGCCCCAAACTCAAACACTCACGGAGGGCTATGACCAGAAATCTTGAATTTCTGCTCGAAGCAGGTCTCCACAGCACCATGTTCACACTCACCCCAATGAGCTTCGAAGGCTGCCCCGATGCTGCGGTGTACCGAGCATCATCCCCGTGAATGCCAATGGGGATGCGAAGCGCACCCTCGCGTATTGAGGGGTGCCCTGCGCCCCACGGACAATGGTGTTGGCAATGCTGCCAAAATTGTTGAAGCTCTGCCTCTTCAAAGCAAACCCCATGAGAGTCCATCAGGTACTTGAACAAACTGATGATGTTGACAACGGGGACTTGTTCCTGTGAAATGTCCCCGCCCTCTTCTCTGAAGTCCAGCCATGTTCGAACATAGACCAAATCCTCAATGTGTTGGCAACTCTTGTTCATCAGCTCCCCCCTCAAAAAAGTCAAGCTGACACTTTTCCATATTTAAACGAAGCTCCACAGGCAGCGCAGAATTCCGCCAGAAATTCCTGGAGGCATTACCTTCTGAGTAAGACGCGAGCCTGGCTGTTCGAGCGCTCATTCCAGGACGCCCGGCTCCGAGCTGATCATTCAGGTCATCGCAGAGGACCGCCTCCTGAATGGGACGGCCGGGTTCGGCCGGGTCTGCATGCGCATATCAGGCTTCACATATGCATGATCGCA